CTCGCGCTCCGCGACGCTTTCGCCCTTCTACGATCCGGGTTCGATCCTTTACCTCCGGCTTCCCTGCCTGACCTGCCCCTTTTGCTCCGCTGCTTAGGCGCTTTAGCTGTCGCTGGTCGAGAAGCAGTCGCATTCTTCCCTGGTTCGTGCGTTCACCGCCTTCTGTTCCCCCTCCTCTTCTCCAGTCTTGGATGGAGACCTCGACAGGATCCCATAGCTAAACGAGCCCGATTCCCTCCAGGTCGTCGCCTGAGACTTTTCTATCAGAACCTCCCGGATCCTGGCACCCCTGCCCTGTCCACCCACCGCACCGCACCGAAGTTCAACTTGTACCACAAAGTACCCCCCCCAGTCCTGACCGACCACTCAACGACCCAAAGGACCCCGAGACCCTCTCGCGATTAAAAAGCCCGGGCCAGCCCCCCGTGCGAGAGCAAACGAGACGTTGGGAAAAAATATCCTCGCCGGCCAGACATATCGCCAAATCGCCAATCCGGCTGGTCACCAGCAAGTGACATGTCATGGACAGCTCCTCGACGCCGCTCGCCGACTACTTTTGGATCGCCGGCGTAGAGTCCGTCTCTTATCAGGACTCTACCCCGCAGCCCCCCTCCAACAACGTCGAATCCACCATCGCCGAGGACAGCGAGTATGAGGAAAGCGATAACGAGTTCAACGCCACCCCGAGCAAGCGCGTTGCTCGCCATTCCAGCGTCGGTCGCCATTCCAGGCAGAACTCGGGTGGTGGTGGTGGCCGCGCCCCCAGTCGCTTTTCCATCCAGACTGTCGAAGAAGTAGACGGGAACACGCGAAGCAACCGGAGCAGCGCTACCATTCGACCCTCCCAGGCGAGCCAGATCAATGGCTCCGGCAACGGTGCCGGCCTCAATGTCTTCAATGGCCTCCCCCCGGGCCTCAATGGCGAAGGACAATTTATCGAAGGCTTCGACTTTGACAAGGCCTTGCTCAAGTTCGCTTCCGAACGAGAGAACTTCTTGGAAGACTTGTCCTTCAGTGCCGGTGCCAAAACACAAGCCCGCCCTCCCATGGTCAACCCCAGAGCTGAGCGCATCAAGGCTGACGAGGGCGACGCGAGCGGCCGGAGAAGTCCTCTACGCAGCATCGAGCGGAGCATCAAGGGCAGCATCCGCCGCAAAATGAGTTTCAGGGACATGAACAGCATGCGCAAGCAACCCACCACTCCTCGGGCGAGCACGCCAGGAGCCGGTACGATACCCCGCCAAGGTCCACCCTCCTCTGTTGCGCAATCCTCAAGTCCTTTCCGGTCAACTAACACGCTGGCTCCAGCTTCAATTAGGACTGCCAAGCGACTCAGCAACTACAACTCAGTGATTCCTCCTCCGGAGCCCCTGAACACGGATCCAGACATGCATCCCCTCAAGAGACGATTCGAGCCTGTCTTGTTGGACAGGTACCCAGCCAAAGACGCGACAGACGAGATCGCCCGTCGTGGCAGATTCCCAGACTACGTTCCCATGTTTGCCTTCCCGAACGATATCCAGATCGTGTCTTCCGATGACAGGCCACGTTCCACCTGGCATGGTTTCACAATGACTTCGGACGATAACTCCAAGATATATGGTATTACCATCATTATCTGGACCGCCCTGACATCCGAGGTTGCAGACGAGGTCGAGAAAAGATGTGAGCAGTGGCGGCAGAGCCACATGTCCAACGAGGAGCGGGAATTGGCGGCCAGTCTGGGAGTGCGACTTGCGGCTGAGCGTGCGCACCTCTCACAGTTGCTTGCGAAGCTCCCTACGATTCCCTCGGGGTCTTCAGCTCGTGACACTCTGGATGACCAGATCAGCGCTGTTGAGGAGAAGATTAGTCTCATGACAGAAATGCTGAGACCACTTCGGCACGGTGCCGCGTCCAAGATCGACGGCTTGACGGCTGGCGAGAGTGGACTGTGGGCCCCCAGAGCTTACGGCATCTTGGGAAGAGACGCCACGAGAATGTCGTTCTGGAAGGAATGGCTGCGAGCCATCGTTGTGCCTATGACTGACAGTGCAGTTCTCCGAGTGCCACCCAGCTCCCCCAAGGTTGGTCGTTGGCAGCCTCTTGAGCGTTACGTCGTCAATCTGTGCACCGAGGCATTTAGTCCGCTGGCTTCCAAGACCCAGGTCGAGCTAGGCGTGCGAGAGTTGCGGTTATATTGTCGGAAGGAAGCCATCAACGAGATTCCAGGGGCCCGGACCATTGACATCTACGCCCTATTCAGATGTTTGTCCATGGAGAACATTGTTGCTCTGTTCGAGTACGCAATGTCGGAGTCTCGCATTATCTTCCTCTCCTCACACACTGGTATGCTTCACCTGGCATGCCACGCACTGGTCAATTTGTTGTATCCCCTTAAGTGGGCGAGCATCTTTATTCCTGTGCTCCCTGCGCGTCTGATTTCGGCACTCGAGGCACCTTGCCCTTACATCGTCGGCATCGAGCGGCGATATGAGAAGATTGAGCTTCCGGAGGACGACTACGTGCTGGTTGATTTGGACCTTGATACGATCGACGCCACTAACCAGCCCGTTCGACTTCCGCGACAGCATCGTCGCAAGCTCATTTCTTTACTCCATGTGGCCGCGCCGCATCACATTCGGTATGGAGTGACTACTGGACCCCCGCCATATGCAATGGAGTCCTACCCGTATGACGCCTTTTCAGTTGAGAACGATACTCTGTACAACGCCAGTGTCGCCTCGAGCTCCTTGGGCAAGTGGGTTACACAGAACTCTTCATCTTTCGGAGAGCCGGCCCCTCCGAACTCGGTGCGACCACCAATCTTCAATGCTTTCTTGCATTCGAAGGCTGGCGATCACAGCAAGGACCGGCCTACTACCAGCAAGTCCGGTAAAACCAGCCCACAATCTTCCATCTCACCAGTCTCGATGAACTTCCCCCCGATGCCGACCACACCTGTGTCACGCAGCGATTCCGGCTTTGCACAGACTTTGAGAGAAAAGAAGTCGGGCCACTTTGATGAGAAGTCTCGCCGCAGCTCGTCCTTTGGCATGGACAAGCACCCTCCTCTCCACCGACCAAGCTTGCCCTTCCTTAACGGACACAATCCAAGCATGTCGGTATCCGCAATCTCGGTCGATTCGCAGTCTTCCTACAATGGGTATACGCCCGGGTATGCACCTTCCACGTATGCCCAGTCTACCCTGGCGGCATCGACCATCATGCCCAACATGCTGATTCAGCCCGTACGGAACACCGACACAATGGTGTGGGTCGAGGGCCATTGCTTCAACTGGATGGCCCATGACTTGTCCTCGACATGTTCCGTCTGCGACGACAAGTCAGAGGGAGACGGCATCTACGAGTGCTCTCACTGCAATGCCCGTTCTCACAACCGCTGCCTGGGACAGGTCTCCGTGGTGTGCAGCGAAGCATTTCACCCTGACCGAGTTCGAGCTGCTTTCGTCCGATGCCTCGCTAGTCTCTTGTACACGTACAGAAAGCATCTAGGCCGTCCTACTCGTGAGCAAAAGAACAATGGCCAACTCTACAATTTCGACATGAACAGCTTCATTAAGAGTCTTCCGTACGATCAACAAGAGTATGCCACAATGTTGAGAGAAACTCAAGGTAAGACAACGGCCCCTCGGAATGACATTCCTTGGCAATGCTAACAAATCATCAGCTTTCAACGAGTTTATTCACGAGCGGGAGACACACTCGGCTACGCACGCGTCGATCCGTCTCTTTGACGAGATCATCATGGCCAAGAAGGCTCGTGGACGGCCGGGACTCTCCACGGGATTCTCTCGCCTTTCGACCATCCGTATGTCGCACGGCGCGTCAAGCAACGCTTCAGGGTTCGCTGCGCCATCAAAGCTCAAGATTCCGACGTATCTGGGCGATACTTCGGACCACATGTGGCGGACGGCTTCGGTGCCTGCTCCCAGCGCCAAGTTCCCGGGCGAGTACCGAACCGTCGTCACCCGGATTCCTACCAAGTTGGACCCCAGTCTGATGAGAGAGCCTCGAGCGATCCAGGGTGTCCCTCGGGCCGAGCAACGGGCACACGGGTTCATCAGGAAGCAAGTACCCAGCATGGTTGGTAGTCCACCAAACTGAACGAATGTCGACGATGACGTTTGCCGGCGATTTCCCGGTCATGATTCGACGACAATTCCGACTTTCTGCCTCTCTGCGCTGTACGATAGGAAGAATGTATGTTTAATAAACGGCAGGGGGCAGAATTGTATAAAATCATATGAGCATAAGGGGGAGTCTGGGGTTAAAAGAGGGCTAGGGGGTTCCTCATCAAGAAGTCGTTCTTCATTTTTTTCCGAGTCTTTCAATTTCCAGCTGCGAGCCAGAACTTGGATTCTATTGCCATTTCCGGATAACTGCATTGCTGTCGAGCAGGAAGTGCAAACTAGCAAGCAAAAAAGAAGCAGGTAGAGAGGGAGGGACACACAGAGGGAGAGAGCATTGGCGGATGACATGGGGCCGTTCGCAGTCGCGATACAACTGTCCCTCTTTGGTCGTTTTTTATTGCGCAAATACTAGACTAAGAAGACTTGGAGGAAACGGCGAATATACTAGGCCCCAAGGTCTTTATGATTCTTCAACTTGATCTGTATCGTGACTCTGACTTGAAGTGGTTGATGAAGGTTTACGATGTAAGCGCGGCTAAGTGATTGTCGAATCATGGAACTTCTTGCCACAAGGATCTTTGCGCCATGATTCACTGAATGTGGTGGATATGGATTTCTATTCAAACGGGGAAATACAGACCATGCCGATTCTTCTGGTGTAGTAAGTCCTCTGTTACAACCTCTCTTCCGCTCCGCCCCCCTATCCCCGGCGCATCCGTGTAGGCATACCATGATCTGGGCAACTTTCCTTCTAGGGAGATTCTCATCCTTACTAGCCAGCCACATTCGACCCATTTGTCGTGCTGAATCTCAACGATGCCGAGTAAACTCCCTTCCTCTGACCTCACCTCCGGAATAAAACAAAACTTAGGCAAACTCATCCTCGGGCTCCTCAATCGCATTCTTCACCCGCACGAGCATCGTCGTCTTCCACTTGTCGAGCTTGCTAACCTGATCGTACTGGAACAGCTTATCCGTAAACTCCTCCTGGTTGCCGCCCTCGACGGCGGCGAGCAGGTCGTTGAGCAGCATGGACTCGCGCTGGTTGGCGAACCCGGGGTCCATGTCGGCGTACTTTTCGACGGCGCGGCGGGCGGCCACCATGTCGCCCGTCGCGAGGTGGCAGATGCCGGCGCGGAGGAAGTAGTCCTTTACGCTGTACTTCATCAGGTTGTTGTTGATGGAGACGGCGGCCACCTTTTCGTAGTTTTCAATGGCCTTGTAGTAGTCGCCCTCGAGGGAGGCCACGTCTGCTACCTTGAGCCAGAGCTTGTTGGCGAGACTGGTTTTGAAGTAATGTTAGCTGAGCCGTTTTCTCGGCCAGAACTGACACGGGTTCCACCTACGCAGCTGCGTTGTCGCCCTCGTACCACCCCGCCGCAGCCTCGTAGCTCTCGAGAGCGCGCTTCGAGTCGCCGAGCTCCGTCTCGAATAGCTCGCCGAGCGCCTCCTTGTGGCCCGCCGCGCGGCGGAAGTTGCCCTTGGAGCAGTACTGCGTGACGGCGACCTCGAGGCAGCGGACGGCGGCCTCGGGATCGTCCTTGCGGTAGGCCTTGAAGGCGTCGACGAGGGTGTTTGCGGCATCGTCGGGCTCCTTGAGGTTGGTGGTCTGTACTTGGGCCGCTTTTTCAAAGGCCTGGCCTGCTTCACGGTCTGTAGGGATGGGCGAGATGTCAGTCTTGCTTGTTTCATGGAAAACGGCGAAGAAGAATGGTACTCGTAGAAGGGGATGAGAAATGACTGACTGAGCTTCTGCATCTTAAAGGCGTTGGCTGCCTGCATGTACAGGTCCGCGGCATTCTGGTACTTTTCCTCCCGGCCGCCGAAGAAGCTGAAGCCGCCGCCGGCGCTCGAGAGCGTCTTGTCTGCCTGCGCAATCATGAAATGTTAGCGATCGTGTGTCACCATACCGATAACAACCAGGATGAATATGCATCGCGGGGTCGCTTCGGCGGCATCTCTCTTCCCCGCCGTCTACACCGTGAACAGTGTAGCTCCGCTGCTGAAAGAAAGGTCCAACATCAACGCACCTTTTGCAGCAGAGCGCGAGGGTCCTGAGCCATGGTTTCGGAATTAAGCAAGCACTAGGCCACGATTATGGGGTGTGCTGTATATGTGTCTCTCGATCGATAAGTGTCGGGCCTCGATGGCTTGCAGTGTGCCGTCGTATACGTGCGTTCGTTAGGTGGGTTATCGCAAACCTCTCTTTATACTAGATGTCTCGAGAGGCCAGGTCGCGGGGTGTAGGAAGAGAAAGGAAGGGTGTGCGTCGCTTGGTTCGTTGTTCAGGATGTGAGAGGTGGCAGTGGTGGTGGTTGCTGGCTGGCATCAGCGCTTCGAAACTGTAGCAGCGCGACACCCCCCAACCCGCCCACTTCGGCTGGCCCTGCGTTTTGGGCTGGCTTCTTCGGGGGGGGGGGGGGGTTTCTGTGGCACCAGTAGCCAGCCCAGCCAGCTATGACGCGCGGGGTGAGTCGCTGTGGCTTAGCGGAAACCAAGGTGAGGGTGGCTTACGTTTGCTTGCGAATCCCCTTGTCAGTGTTGCTGTTGCAGGCTTCTGTGGTGGGGTTCTGCTGGAGTCGTGTCCCGACACTCTCATTCGTCGAGACTGCGACTTGCCTTTCCCCTAGTCCCTTGGCTGCTGGAGAAGAAACACCAGGGTTCAAGCTCTAGGTTCTAAAGCAGGTCGGCTTCTAGGTAATCCAATTCTGACAACACCAACCTATGATCGCGACTTGAGACCCCTTCTACCTAAACAAGTTACATTCACAGCCCTCAACCATTGAAATCGATCATGGCTACGATACGTCCACTCTGCAGGCGCTGCAGCGCGCTCCTCCCCCCGACCCGTACATTCACATCCTCCTCCGTCCGTCTCTCAACTCCGAAGTCAGCATCGACAATTCTCTCGAAACCTACATGGTCTGTCGCCTCTCTCCTCCCATCCTCCTCAAAGAGTGGCGCCGTGAAGGAGTCAGCAGACGAACCAATCTCCCGCGCAAAGCTCCATCACCTCCTTCGCCTGTCCGCCCTCCCGCTCCCCGAATCCGAGGCGGAGGAGACCGCGATGTTGCGCACACTGCACTCTCAACTACATTTTGTGCGCGATGTCCAAAGCGTAGATACCACCGGCGTTGAGCCGCTTCGTTCATTACGCGACGAAACAACAGAGGGTGTGGCAGAAGCCACGATTGGCTTGCAAGAGCTACAGAATGCCCTGGGCAAGGAAATCCGCTTCGGTCACAAGAGACGACCAAAGAGATTGCGCGGGGAAAAGGTTGAAACCACAGGAGTTGAGGACTGGAACCCTCTAGAGACCGCGTCGAGGACGGCTGGAAAATACTTTGTCGTTCAGAGCAGCAAAAAAGAGGAAGCATGATACCCATTAAGTAGGATACCCGGTGAGACATTCCATTGATAAACATATTCGTTTTCCCATTGATCGTATCTCGTCGTGTTACAAATGTCTGTGCCCATTTCCCCGGTGTCGTAGCTAATAATATTGCAATAGTCCATCCATCCATAATCCACGCCATTTGCCACGTCCAGTAACAATGGCCCATGTCTAACCATATCTCTACCGATCACCGCAGCTAAGATGCTCTCCGTAGCCTAATCCTGGATCTTCATCTTGCTCATTTTCGAATCGAGCTTGGCGTCGTTCTTGTGCTGCACCTCCTCCTGAATGTGCTCAGCTTCCTTGTCCATGTCGACGTAAGTTTGCTTCTGGCTCTTGTCACGGCCGTATTTCTCATCCATGAGGCTGAGGACTTGCTCGTCCTTTTCGATCTGCGCGTAGTCGAGATCCTCCCAGCCAATATTCTTGAGGATGGTACCAATCATGTATTGGTATCTCAGGTGGCCGCTAACCATGCTGCTCACGTCGTAGTTCTCTACGCCTTCGGCGCCCTGGATTGGCTGCAAGCCAGCAACGCCGAACTGAAGGTTGGACGTCCGGTACAGGAAGCCCAGAATATAATCGTTCTCCGAGTAGACGTTGACAAGTCTGCCAGCAACGACGCTCTTCAAAGCAAGCCAAACTCGGCTTTCGGATGGCGCCGGGGTGCCAATCATGACCACGGACTCAATGAGGCCGAATTGGCGGCGTTCGGCAAGGACCATCAAGCAGGTGTAGATGGCTCGGGCAGCCAAGCTGTAGCCAATCAAGCTGACAGGTCGATCGCCCTGCACTTTGCGACTGATGGCCTCCGCTAGGATCATGCCGACCTTCTCGGCTCGGACCATTCCGACACTCCAAGGATTGTCAATGACCTTGCTGACCTTGAGAAGGCCAATGGGCCACATGGCCGACATGAGGCTGGCAAAGACTTAAAAATGATTAGCAAGGGGGCTTTGCGTTACGTGGCGAGAGACTTACTGGTCCGCGTGATGATTTCCTTCTTGGCAACACTCCAGGCGGTACTCTTGATGACAGTCTCGAGCGAGTTTCCCATATTCATCAGGTTGGCAACTTCCCATCGCACAGCGTATACCTCACCTTGGTGGCCGATGCAACGCCAGGGGTTGACCACATCTTCCTTCTGAGTCAGCCAACCACTGAGGGCAAGGACAACTCGAAGGCGACGATCCTTGGACGGGATCTCTTTGGCGTCGCGATACTCATCTCGCATCTCGCCATGTAGAGGTAGAAACGCAAAGTCGGCAACATCTCTGGCGTACTGGTCCATCATCTTGGATGTCTGGCGAGCGCCGTAAATGCCGAATAAGCTGCCAACAACAACGCCACTCTGGGCTAAAGTGCCGAGCAATCCAGCTGCCGCCGTGGAACCAAGTCCAACACCGCCCATAACGGTGCCAATGCCAGCAGCGACTAGGGGAGCCGCAAGACCTCCAGTGACACCAATGATGGCAGCACCGGCGGCGCCAGCAAGTCCAACCTTCCAGCGTCTGGTCGATTTGTTCTCCGCAGACTTGTCCTCCACTACCTCATCAGCGTTGACCTCCTGCACAGTCTTGCCGAGACCTCTGGCAACCCGAACCTCATCCTCTTGAAAGAAGCGGAGAGTTAGGTGAAGCGATGACGCCAACTTGAGCATGAAGACGCGAGAGAAGGCCGTGTACTGCTCCAGTGACAGGAGAAGCAGCAGAATTGTGTGAAGCAACAACTTCCGGCGCTCGATGGGTAGGGCGGTCAGTGGTGTGGCACTCGGAGGGAATCGTCTGATGAGCCAGAGGTCGGTCTCGGGTTGACGGGTAGCCGGCGGGCCTGTTCAAGTCAGCATAAAAGCTCGGGATTATGGGGTGGGCAGCTGCTAACGTACCACCTGTCTTGACGCTGAGGGCGCCACCTCTACTACCACGGCCGCGCGGGGCAGTGCCTCGACCTCCCTGAGGTGCACCGCGATCACCGCGACCGCCGCGGGCTCCACGAACGGCACCCCGACCTCCACGACCGGCTGGGGCGGCTGAAGCTTCGGAATCCTTGACCGAAATGTCCTTGGCGCGCGTCAGGACATTGCCCTGCCACTTCCTGAAGACGACAAGACACTCCTTTTTGAGCTCCTGAAGCTGAGGCGTCATGGCCTCTTTCTCTTCCTTCTCGACTATCTCATGGGCTTTGTTGTACGTCAACCCACCCTTCTGCTGGTTCGAAGTCGAAGCAGAGCCGGCATTCTCCTTGTTGACGCTGCTCTCAGATTGAGGGGTGGCAGGCTTGCTGGTCACCTTGTTCTTCAGCAGCGAGAGGGATAGCCATGAGTGCTGGGGGTCCTCGGTCGTAGCGGGAGTGATGGGAGGAGAGTGAAAGATGTTGCTTATCTGGTCCTGCATGCTGTCCAAGATGTTGCAGACCAGGTTGATGAGCTCGTTCTTCTCCTCGAGAGTGAGGACGCCGGTAAGATCGGTCTGAGTACGACGGCGCTGGCCGTGAGGGCGTCTCGAGCCGGCCATTGTATCGGGGTCGTCTGGGTCTCGTTCCCAGTTACCGTCTTCTTCTTCTTCAAAGGAGCAAATAGAAGATGCGTCCAAATTCTCCTCGTCAGAGTAGGCGTAGTTGTATTGGTCCTCGTCGTTTTCCGAGGGTAAAGTGTTGATGTTGAGATCAGGATTGGAAGTCGGACCAGGTGCGGCAGCAGGGTGAGAGCTGGCAGGAGGGGTTTCTGTGTTTGTACTCCTTGGGTGGTTGTGAGGTGGTACGTCCGTCGCTGCCTCCTGCACAACCGCATCCTGCCCCACGGCAGGTGCTGCCGGGGAAGGCGAAGAGCCAGGCGCGGTTTCCATACTGGGCAATATTTCGAGGTACCAACTGCCACCCTGGAATTAGGCGAAGGCAGGAAAGGGGCACGGTGAATACAAGGTGAAAAGCTACAAAGAAATCACGTGCTATGATTAGACACCAAGCAAGCGGACGGTGAATATGTCGGTCAGCCTTTCTGTAAGTCTGCCTGTCTGTCTGTATCTCGTGTCTACCTCAGACACACAAACACAGAACGAGAAGAAGAGAGGGCAAAGATGAAACGGTAAGTTGGTGAAGCAAACACAAGCAACGGCAGCATCGTGTGAGGGAAACCGGGGAGGTGAGCTCTGTTTGTAGTCGCGCGGGAAGCTGCGTCCATCTCAGACCCCTGACGTCAGCTGTCAGGTCGCACCCAGTGATGCACCACCGCATCACTGGCGCACTGCCGGGGTCACGGACGCTGCTTCTGGGGTGCGAACCGATCTTATCGATAGAAAACCGCCTGGGGGAGGGTCGCCACCGGCCGGTCTGATTGGCAGCTGCCCGCGGCGCCTGCAACGTCTCCAGCGTTCTTCCCGTGCGGCCGCCCCTCCTAAGCCTCCCTCCCGGACGCTTGCAGTTGCGCTAATGCACGGTTTTTCGGCCCTCTTTCTGGAAGCTGGCAAGTTGGGGCTCCAGAGCTCCTACCCTGGCACTTGGCTCCCGATGGTCACCAAAAAATAGCCCAGACCCGATCCAGTGGATGGCTGCCGTCCCGTTTGCCTTCGCCCCTGCTGCTCCGCTGTCAACTCTATTTCCGTCCCAAGGTGCGGGCGATATTTTCAGTCACATTGCCTTTTCAGTCGGTTTATTCGTGTTGGGATGCAAAACCACATGTCTCTCGCTTGCGGTAGGACGTTTCTCCAGTCATCCAACCTCCGATTGAGCGGACTGTCACCTGACACAACCAGAAGAAACAATAACATATCTCCAAAAACTTGAGAACGCCATGATCATCAGGGTTGTTCTTAGTTACTAACTGACTTGTATGTCGTCGAACGATTCGTACCATTGATATTGTAAGCGAATACAATAACACTGTGCCTGCTTTCCCCTTGTAGCTGTTCGCATACCTGTGTTTGAGAACCAGTAGCATGACTTCCGGTTCTTCTTACCTGCTTCTCAAGACTCTTGAGTTTCAATTACGATCTTTGGAGGTTGAAGTATAACCAGATCTAAAGACGATTCTGAAACTTCCCAAAGCCAGTCCTCGAGGCAACTATACCATTTCCCATAAGCCCTCCCGCAAGGTCGCGTGGAAGCCCAAGAGGTTCATGCAGAAGTTCTCGACATTTGACTTTCCTCTGCCACTCTACCCTCAAGGTAGTCCACCTCCATTAATGGGTGACGAAACTGAAACTTGACATAGCCATTAGGGCACTTAGCCGAGGGCTTCATTTACTCGAACACAGCGGAGATAGAATGGGTCATGGCCCTTCGAGCACCTTGATGTTTTTCGAATGCCTATAAGATGCTCTCATTTTCCCTTACAGTCTCTCTTCTCTTCTCTTCTCTTCTCTCTCCTCAGACACAGTCTCATCCTCCTTCCATCCCTCAAGGCAACAGGAGCCCTCTATGGATTCCCAAGCCCCCAACACCGGTTCAACTTGAATCATACGGACAACGCAGCATATCAAGCCCTGAACAGGCCGCTGATATCATATCTGCTTGATTACACACATACCTTATGCTCACATAAGACCAGGGCATGCCAGATAGCACAAATGGCACCCCCTTGTGTACCCATCACCCCTGTCGCGCCTAGCTCTCCACCTACAGCTCGAGGATCAACGACTTATGGATCACTGGAGTTCTCTCCCCATCGACCGCGGAGGTCTCCAACATATCCACCACCGTTTTCGAGATGGCCCATCTCTCGGCAACCTTGAGCCATAGGGAAGGGGCTGCGACAGTCCCGAATGCACCCAACACCGCCGACCTACAGCACTGGCCTCGCATAAGACAGCCTGCAACACGCAGGAGATTACGCAGGCTTATCAGAGGGTTTAACACTTCAGCCTTCACCTCGTACAAGACAGCCAGTGACAAGCTGGAGATTGAACAGGTTTAGATGGAGATCTAGCCCTCCCCGTTACGACATGCCTCGCATAAGACAGCCAGCATTCAGCTGGAGATTATGCAGGTCCAGAGGATGATCCAACCCTCCCGGGAATATACACGACAAAGTGTAAATAGTGCTGGCACTATTACCCAAAGAGTCGACTAAGCGACAGAGGGAGACGATCCAGAGACCTTAAAGACCTGTGGTCAGAGTTCAAACAACATCACAGTGGCTTCCGAAGAAATCAACCACACGTCGGTCGAGGCAGGGCCCTCCCCCCCAAAAGTGCTTCGTCCACGACCGCAAGGCATTGAAATGGAGGGCGACTTCTGCAAGCGCCAAGATCTCCATGCCTCACTCAACACGACGTTCCTTCGGACAAGACTCAACGGGACAGATCTTACTTCTCATCAGAGCTGACGAAGACTCTGTCCATCCTCATCACATCTCACATCACCCTCTCCAGCCCGCACAAACCCCCGGCCAGTTTGCCGGCCAGTCAAACAACCACGTCGACCAGCCCGCCTCCAACGATGCCCCTCGACAAGTCTGCCCCTCTCAGGCTCGACGACTTCGGCCAGCTCGACGCCGTAGCCATCGTGGCCACCATGGGCATGTTGAAGTTAGAAAAGCAACGCAGGGCGTTCCGACGGTGCGGAATTCGGCTGGGCGACATCACAGGCGCCGTGGACAGCCGGGCCGGTACGGATGCCAGGATCCGGCACATCGACGCCGGCCTGGCCATAATGGCCACGATGGACGGGCCGGAGGTGCACAGGGTCAGGGCGACAAGCCGGCGCCTCAGACGGCTCCTACGGGACCCCCCGGGCGACGATAATACCCGTATAAAAGAAGAGATCATGCTGGACCTGGCTGCCCACGCGGGCTGGCACCAGGAGGTCCTGTGCGCGTTGGAGTGGGTGAAGCTCGCCCTGTAGGCGGGCGGCGGAAGGTTGGGAGTTGATGAAAGGGAGACAATGGTCGAGTCGGTTGACTGCTGTTTTGGTTAGTGGTTAGGTATGGAGCGCAATATACCCAGTTTTCCCCAATACGTAATACACGGTACTGCTCCGGCGGGTTGCTCCGTCGGGGGTGTTCTGCCCCTTATATATTTGGCAGTTTCTACTTGATCAATGGCCTCAAGCTCCACCGCACCGTTCACTTCTAGCCAGTGACATTTTTGGATGCTTTGGTCATGAAGGAGCCGTCTCAGGTAGACAAATTGCAGTCTATCTGTCTCGAAGACCGGTTCATCAGACGTATATATCACGAGCGTAGTGTGCGAACAATTGTAAGTTTGTATCCGCAAGGACGAGGGTATGCGTACCTCAAGGCAGATTATCTGTAGTTCCCTCTACCCAATTAACGAAGTGAAATATTCCAGCCTCACGCCGGGGAAAAAAAAAGAAAAGAAAAGAAAAGCGAGGAAGAAAGAAAGGATGGAAAAGAAGGCCGCTTGTGGGTTTCGAATCCACAAACTACAGCTCGGTAGCTTTGCACTTCAGGATTAGGGGTATAACCATCTTAAGCTTCTGGGCAAGAGTCCCTTTTACTGCTGTTGAGAATTTCCGAGGTGAACTAGTATATAGACCACGCTCCGCCCTGTCCTGTGATACCTCAGGCTGAGGGTGACGAATACGCATGCGAGGCATACCTACTTGTTCTTCAGGCAAGAGTGACACGAGGTTGAAAGATGCTGGGGCCTGAATAGTTGAAAGCGATACCGATGTTCTCGGCTGAATTGAAGTAAAGTAATTGAACAGGGCGAGATGCTGAAAGAAAGTGACAAAAAGAAAAAGGAGTCACCAATGGTGAATTGAACAAAAGGTTAGGTTGAGTGAGGCCTCGGACTTATGGATTAATCTATGACTCCCTCCAAATACCCCTCGGCCAGGTTCCCCTTGTGCCTCTTATGGTATGACAGAAGGAGAAGTGACCCAAGTACCTACCTAGCGGTGCACCTCGCCCCTCCATCCCAAGGAGCATTCGAGGGCTCGGAAAGACCTTCACCTGCCCTGGGAGACTGGATTCAGACAATCGTCCGAAGGAGACCTATTCAGGTTTTCAGGTTACAATCTCAGATGACCTATTGTTTTGAACACGTCGAGAGAAGGGCGTAAGACAAGGAGGAGGAATTTTCATACCACCTGCTGAATGCTAAATGCCTCCTTCCTCACAAACCTAGACACCCAACCAACTACTGCCGACAGGAGAGTGATGTAGACATATACAAGTAGCGCACCTGAAGTAAATCATCGCACTTGGGGCTTGGTGATGAGTCTCTGCTACCAGAACGGAGGAAGAAGTCAGCTCAGAAATCTTTGTGATCAGTATGTCACCTAAAACTCGGAAGCCGACCAAAATGGTCGTTCTCATTCATCGGCGGTGTGCCAATGCATCCGTCGTATGCAAACTCTGCCCTCACTGCTCGTCGCGCAGAGGGCGCCATATGAGCCTTTACGGAACTGATTGCCTGGATAGAATTTGATAGTACCCAAAGTTTGCGTCGCAATTAACAAGGAGTGGAGAAAATCAGTCGCACAGCGGGCAGGCATTACGCCGCCTGAATGGGACGTTTAGATCAATTCAAGATCGTGTGCTTGACATAGATCGTTTCATAGTTCGTTTCCAAATAGGTAGTCTTACAGTTGAAGCAAGTCGTTTCTCAGACAAGTCTTCCTTGCCCTGATGTACATTAAGTCTCCATATACTCCTCAAGTGATAGATAGTGGTGCCATCACGCCATTGTTATAAAGCGGCAATCATTTCTGGAACTTTTGGCCCGTCCCACGCTGGTCTGGCTAAGTAGCAGCAGGATTTGTCTCCGATACTTGAATGTTCCTCTAGCATTCATTAAACACGAGCAGTCGGGTTGTGCTGCTTCTCCTGCTTGAACGAGTCCCGATGATAGTCAACCCCTCCAGCATGCGGCACAGCAGGCGGGCTAATGTCCTGCCTAAAGATGTACCTCTTCCAAAAGTAGAAGAACTGCGCGAGCCCGTACCGCGCCAAAGTCCGCAGTGGAACGCTGAACACGGCGTCCAGCTCCTCGAGGGTCTTCTCCTTAGTCTCCGGGACGAGCAGCAACACCAGGAAGAAGCCGATGATGTTCCAACCGCCATGCCACCCAAAGGCGCCCGTCGGCGTAAAGGCCGCCTGAAGAGAAGGCCAGGTGACGGCAAGGAGGAAGTTGAAGAACCACGTCGTGGCCGTCGCCAGAGACATGCCGATGGGGCGGATGTACAGCGGGTATGCCTCGGCCGAGTAAGTGAAAGGTACCGGTCCCTCGCCAGGGGAATAGACCATGCCGAAGAGATAGATGCCCAGGGCGATGCAGGCGATCTTGGCGGGGTTTGTAGGTATATAGAATGAGAATCCAGTAAAAAAAAGACAGATGGCCATCAATGGGAAGGTTGTCAAGAGTAAGTTGCGCCGTCCGAAAGTATCAATCGTGTAGAAAGCCGGAAGAGCGAAGAGCCAGTTGATGATGCCAAAGCCAAGGGACGCCGACAATGCACTTACTTCGCTGAACTCGGCCGCCAGGAAGATCTCAGAGCTGTAATAAGCTGCTTATGATCAGCACAGTGTTTTAGATACTCTGGATTAGAATAATCATCGGGTCTGGGGCATCTTTTCCATCACCGTCCAATATGCAATACACAACCGTTTGAAACGGTTCCATGCGCGTATACACTATACTAGTATACATTTCCTCGAGTCTCACCACATCTTATGCGATGTGACTGTGAGTGACATGTCAGGTCGATATCGCTGCAGGAGTTCTTGGGCATCCAAAATATCACAGCGATGCTCATCTTCGTTTTCCCATCGACACCATGGAGACATGTAGTCGGGTTCGTTTCCTGGGCACGTGGAAGGAGCTTGCGTGCTTGCCTTAGTAAGGTAGGTACGCTTTTTAAAGTTGAGACTAGAAGGTCGCAGTGCCCATTAAAAAAGGTTGGCGGGACCTATTCAAACTTCAACGGCGTCGGTTTTGCAACGTCCGCCGTTGTCCATCTGAACATCAATTCTCTGCATGTCAAATGCAACATGGATGCAAGAATACAGTCCAGATATGCCTGTATCATGTAGCGGATGCGTATGCGGCCACAAGCACATCGCGTCGTTCTGTCTGCTGGAAGCCATGTGCCGTCTTCCAACTTACGTCATGTCACAGGAGCCGCCTAAAGAGGTTGCATCTAAGGTACGGTGGGTTCTCCACTATATCGTGCTCACCTCCTTGCCCGCGGACGAGTACCCCGTCTGTGGGAATATTCTCACCATTTTCTGTCTTCATCTATATCTTTCATTCTAGTGCGGATAGTAGGTGCATAAGTTCTCTGAAGGTCTGATATATCTTTCATTATCCGGAGAAGTGGGCCGTTCGCATTGAGCACGCTGCGCAATAAGCATCTGTACCTTCCTTACCAAAAAACCCTCCGTCCGCTACCTCCATAGCCGAAGAGTTGAGGCTTGTAAGACCGAAGTCGGCGAGGAAGGAGAGTCGCAGGATTCGTCTTCAACCAGAAATCAAGCGGATAAGTTAGGGGCATCTATGAAATTTAAACGTGTCGCTGGACAAAGTCCTCTCTGATCCAAGCTTTCCGCAAAATCTTTCTTCCACCTTCAAATCTCACCAATTGTCCGAGAATGTTAGCGACACAGCTCTGGCAACCAACTCGAATCCAACGAAAAGTCAATTACATTGAACACTGAAAGTATGTTGTCGCTATACGAAGACGATCAGCAGTCTTTTAGTAAGAGCAATTAGAAACAGCCCACGTGAGGATGATGATGAGAATGAACTGGTTTGGGAAGGGGGGTTTGCGTTCATGTGAAGGACTCTTACCTTCAGACTGCTTCGACAGCCTGAGAGTGGTCAAAATACCTGTACCCGTCGTTACATCTCTACAACGTCGCGATACGACTTTGGCTCGATGTTGATATCTCAATTGACTCGAAGGAGAAGGTAGGGTGCTGTGAAACAAACATCTTCGGAGGTCGCGCTAGCCTGCCCACCCGTTCACCAAATTCAGCGCCTACCCACCTCAGGAGCTATCCATGGATACTTCAAAAGTCCACCAGTTGGTCCCATTTCATTGAATCTGGTTCGAGCTCGAGCTCGATCTCACAGCCTCACGGAAGACCCCGTTACTCCTGCGTCGGAACGTGGGAACGTCACAAGTGACAAACACGCTCACACCGATGGACTAAACCCAGATAGGACCAGGAACAAAAGCTCCAGGACTGCGGCGCTGCAGCACTGCAGAAGGGGGAGCAACATCTACGTAGTACTCTCTCCCAAACGCAGGTTCACCGATTAGGAAAAGCCGGGAATCCATTCGCTCATTCACGCCGGAAGAGCCAACGCGATTAATCAGAAAAGCACTCTATAGAATAGTGGAATATTGACCGATCGGGATGAAAGTGGAGAAGAGCCCCCGTCGCCGGAAACTATCCGACTTGGGGCTTTGCCGTTTTCGAGCCGACTCGGACGGGAGAGCCGGGGTCGACTGTCTAATGTAGATTGTGTTAGCGCCCAAACACCCTGTTCAGGATGCGCAGAAAGGAGCCTCTTCTTCACGACCGCCTTCCTCTTGGGCTCTGATATCCTCCCCCCAAGAGTCTTGTTGTCCCCCTTCTCTCGTATTTCTGACTTTTCTCCTCGCTTAAATCCTTCCTTTCCACTAACGATGCGTTTCGCAGTATCCGAACTGTCAACGGATGCTACGTCTAGGACTCTAGACCACCCCATCCACCGCATGGGTAGGGACAGTAGTGGATCTACAAATGGGGACGACAGCCGGGATCTGATTCAAAAGGGACAACGTGAGCTCACCTAAATCGGCTGGGACCACTCGATCTGGCAATTTATTCGTATTCTGCCAATAGCACAGCCCTTTTGGCAGGGGCGATTCGAACGGGGTCCGCGAAGCGAGGCTCTCGTCAAAAGACGAGAGTCTGGTATGTGGGAGTAAACTGCTCGTGGTCCTCGTTGGTGCGAAGATACAATATATGCTACTCAACCGCTGTCTTTACACTTCCGCTTAGTCTCTCTTCCTCCTTCCTCCCTCCTTCCATCCCTCTCTCCCTACAGGTGCCGCAGTTCAAGCCAAGGCAATCACTCGTTCTGCCTTGTGCTGTTATCGTTCGTTTGATCCCTGCCGTACATTACACTTCAATCGTTCACAAACCGACTCTCTTTACATCGTATCTTCTTTTGCCTGTTGTTCTTCCTTCTCTTGGATAATCGACCACTGCCTTAATACCATAATCTTCTCATCAACTGTGTAAACATGCGTTCCTTCGCAACAACACTCTCTTTGCTGGCCGTCGGGGCCCTCCAAGGCGTCTCGGCCTTGGATGCCGCCGGATGGAGAAACCAGAGCATCTACCAAATCATCACCGACCGTTTTGCCACCTCTGATGGCTCGACCCCAGTCTGCGATATCACCCCGGGCCTGTACTGCGGCGGCACCTGGAAGGGCATCACCAGCAAGCTGGACTACATCCAGAACCTTGGTGCCACCGCCATCTGGATCTCGCCTGTCGTGAAGAACGTCGAGGGAAACGTTGGCGGCAACGGAGAGGGCTACCACGGCTTCTGGACCGAGGACCTCTACTCCATCAACCCGCACTTTGGTACTGAGGCCGACCTCCTGGAGCTCTCCAGCGCCCTCCACGCCCGCGGCATGTACCTCATGGTCGACGTCGCCCCCAACCACTCCGGTCTGAACGACTCCCCCGGCAACTACACAAAGTACAAGCCCTTCAACAAGCCCGAGTACTACCACAAGGAGTGCTCCATCAACTGGAACAACCTCCAGTCCGAGCAGCTCTGCTGGCTCGAGGGTCTGCCCGACCTCCGCACCGAGGACGACTTCGTCCGTAAGATCTACGCCGAGTGGATCAAGGACCTCGTCACCAAGTACTCCATCGATGGCCTCCGCGTTGACACCGCCCTCGAGATTGAGCCCGAGTTCTTCACCGAGGGCGGCTTCCGCGAGGCCGCCGGCGTCTTCCTTCTCGCCGAGGTCAGCCACTCCTCCCTGACCCTGCTCGCACCTTACCAGAACTACCTCGACGGCATCATGGACTACAGCAGCTACCACCTCTTCGCCACCGTCTTCTCCACCCTCGAGGGCGACATGGACAAGGTCTACGAGAGCGCCAACACCATGGCCGGCATGTCCTCCATCGACCCCTCCGTCTGGGGCTCCTTCGTCGAGAACCAGGACCAGCCCCGCTTCCCCTACCTTAACGGCGACGTCGCCCTCGCCAAGAACATGTACGCTCTAACCATGCTCCGCGACGGCATCCCCATCGTCTACTACGGCCAGGAGCAGCACTTCAACGGCGGCCCCAACCCCAACAACCGCGAGGTCTTCTGGACGACTGGCTTCGACGACAAGGCGGAACTCTACGGCTGGATCCAGCAGACCAACAAGATCCGCGCCCACGCCGCCGCCGCCAACGCCGACTTCCTCACAAAGGAGCGCACCCGCGCCGTCTTCTCCTACGGCAGCACCGACAGCAGCCGCGTCATCGGCTTCCGCAAGGGCCAGCTCTTCTCCATGTACACTAACGGCGGCTCCGCCGCCAACAACGGCGTCATGTTCTCAATTGCGCGCAACGTCCACGGCTTCGCCGTTGGTGCCGAGATCGTCGACGTCTTGAACTGCGAATCCTTTACCGTTGCCTCTCACGGCCGTCTGTGGGCACAGATGCCCGCCGGTGGCCTGCCTCGCGTCTTCTTGCCCAAGGAGCAGACCGAGGGTCTCTGCAACGATGTCAAGGCGCCTGTCGCGGACGCCACTGTCAAGGTCGGTGTTGACAAGAACACTGGCTACAACAGACGGGCTGTGATGCTGGAGTAGATGTGTTGTGCGCTGGGAGTTCGTTCGAATTTGTAGTAGACTGGAAGCGGAATAGGATAGGCCTGGTCATCAGGCCGTTATGTGAACCTGATGATCATGCTCGTGTAGATGACTACTGAATGTCGAGCGTTGTCTGCGTAATAATTAATAGTAATATGATGCCATGTGTCTTGAGTGTGCTGCCTTTCTCACAGTGACAACAAGCATCGTGCTACCTAGGGCTCGAGAAAGCTCATGGCCGAGCTGACTTTGGCTCGTGAAGCCACTCGCGACTCGAGTACAGATTGAGCCGTATGTCGCTCAGTTAGGGGTAAACGAGTGTGGCGAGCAAGGAAAGAGCGGCGGACGGGCCATAACAACAATGCGGAACTTGGAAGTAAGGTAGCTAGGTACCTTAGGTCAAAGCCTGGTGGGTCTTTCCATAGTGCTAGGTTGTAGACTGAGATGGAATGGATGGCGGGACGAACTTGCCTTCCATTCAGGCCCCACAAGCAATATCATGAGACTGTAGCCTGCTACCTTGGTAGTCCGGCTTAGAAGGAGCAGGCTGGTGCTACCGCACCTTACCTTCCCACACCTGCCGCGAGAGAAGCCTATATACCCCCCCTCAAGTCCATTCCCGTCACCAACGGCAGCAGGCGCCTCACAGGCTTGCGAGGTCAGGTCAAACTGCCGTTTGGCGGGATGGTTACGGGCGAGCCTGTTCAACTGGCTTAGCCTACACCAGGCTTCTAGGTTCGAGTCCCAGCATGAGCACCAAGAGATGTAGCCCCCAGTTCAGCACCGGGGGGGTGAACTCTTTTTGGTTCTCGTGTAGTTTGGGCCTTTTGATATTTGTATGAGGTAATCAGGGTCCATCTCGAAACACTACGGCCGGTGTTGGCATCGAAGCCTTAGCGGCGTGTACATCTGGTGAGTCTTAGTTTGAAGGTAATCTAAGCTCAATGGTCGTTGAGTCGTCGTCGTCTAGCAAAACCAAGACGACTTACCAGTTATAGCAGCTCTGACGACACACAATGCCGTGTGAAGCGCCAACGACCAACCAGTCTGGATATCTGTATGTGCCAGCCCATAATGCTAGGTATCACTTCTCTGTCTAGCTGGCTCACAAACCTTGCTAAAGAACCATATTCTCCTTGACGGGTGATGCAGAGCTAGGTCTCACTTGTGCAAACAGAACGACGTGTGCTTGAATGTCATAATTGTGGTCATGGGAAAATGTACCGAAACCTGTTCCCTTTCCTTTCTCATCCTCTCTCCTTTCCTCTTCCAACTGCCCAGAGGTAAAAACAAGAAACTGTAATCGTGACTTTTTGTGGTATCCGCTATGCTGTAGTAAAGGGACCTAAGAGAAAATGCGAGATTGCGTGGACTGGGTATCCTGCTGTCTTTCCAAACACCATTGCTATGCTTCAGTCGTAACCGTACTTGATAACTTTTTGTGGCTTCATCACTCGTTCAAGTCTCTATAGTCATCACGCATAAAAGACGAAGGCTGTAAAACAAAGTCGGGGTAGGGCGAGTGTCACCGCCGCAACGGCGTCCCCGCGGGTGTGCTGTAAGCGGAGCGGTCGTAGCTCTTGTGCTTTGACCGTTTGCGTTTGAGGGCGGTCCAGTCGGTTTTCCAGTTCTGAATGCTTTGGGCGAGGTCGTCGTCAACATCGGTTGGGCATTGCACTTCTATAGCCTTGAGGCCGAGGCGTAGGTAGCTGAGTTCCGAGTCGTTTTCTTGGAGTTCCTCTTCTCTGCGATGAGTCAGTATGGAAAGGCACACAAACAACCCACAAGGGGACTGTTTCGAGACATACAAGTCATGTACTCGACCTTGGAGGAAGATGATTCTTTGTGCTGCCCGTTCTGCGCGGGTTACGAGAAGTTGGTGGATGTGCTTTATTCTGGTCAGTGGCCTCCCTTCCCGAGTTTGGCGTTTTCATGTCTCACCTCCGATTCCTCTTGACGGGCCTTGAGGTTTGTGACGAGGGATTCCAGCTCGATGTTGAGTTTTGCTGCTTCGGACGCGATGCGGAAAGTATCAACCGCGGGCTTCTTTTCGACGGTGGGTTCAGGCGAGGGCGTATCTCTTCTGAATGAGCTGCGGAAGGACGGTGAGATTTCCGAAAGGCCCGACCGAAACCATGACGGCGAAGGCGAAGTCCACAAGGATTCATGCTCAACACTCCGGGCGTCTGCCGGCCAATTCTTTGGCTTGCCCTGTGGTGTTGCTTGAGGCGGCTCTCCGGCTAAGACTGAATCAATCTCATCAAGCTTTCCGTGCATGGCGCTAACGTTGGTATCAGGGACATCTTCACCCGCGAGGAGCTTTTGCGCCAAGTCGTTGAGCCGCTGGATCAGACCGAGAGTATCTCGGGTATTTTCAGTGTTCTCATTCGTCTTTTCAGTCCCATTTGAATGGGTTGATGCAGTGAGATCATCCTCGGTCCATGAGCGCGCTAGGGGGCTCTTAGCCACCGGCGTCGAGAAATAACCACCGGGCGTTGAAAATTGCTGGCGAGGAGTCGGTGAGAGAGGTGAGAAGCCCCGATAGCTCATCGGTGAGGGAAGAGAGGGCGTTGAAATTTGCGGTGAAGAGGCATGCGGCGTTACGGGGACCGATTTGCTGGTTTGGCTCCTAGAGCGGCGCAAGCGGCCTTTGCATGGGCTGTTGTCGTCCTCATCGTCATTCAAATCGAGAAAACGTAGGCCCAGCCCCGAATCCGATCTGCCGTCCGACATTTCTGGTCATTGAAGTGAAAAAGGTATTTGGACAATGTTTAATAGGGCGGCGGCCGGCCAACCGAAAAACCGGGTCTTTGGCCTCCTAGACAAATAGTCCCCGTGTGTATGTATTCCTCTCAGAGGTATGGGGAACGGAAAAGACGCGCGACAAGGCAAAGAACTGCCGGTTTGGGCTCGATTGCAATGCGACGAGTCGACTCTGCATGCACCGGATGAAAGCAGCACGGCGCGGCAAGCTAGTGGGAGGTAGTATTCCCGAAGACGATCCGAAAGGGCGGCTTCTGGTGCAAATGCCAAAGATTGGGGGATTTTGGGCGTCAGCTGCAGGAGAATCGGGCGCTGTTTGGTCAAAGAGGCCGACCAATTGGCGATGCGTCGAGTCTTGTCTTTGGCGCGTTCGACGCGTGAGGTGGCTCTGGAAGGCGTGGGAGGCTGGTGAAGGCTGGGCGAGGACTCGGGGGGGCTTGAAGAATTGTGGCGCCTTGCATGTGACCACAGGGGTCAAGCTGGGACTGTGACAATGGGTGAACGCTGGAGACGGATTTACCTAGGGCCATTTTGCGAGAAGGGGGAAGGACGCGACCGGGATGTGATTGGGGAGGTGACGGCTACGCAGTACTCCGTAGAGCTGCTAGCATTTGCTGTAGTGGAGGTGCACCTACCTTGAGGTACCTTGCTTAGGGATGCCTACCTTACCTTATGTCAGCATTTACCTCAAGACTCGGTGTGGGGAAGCAAGCAAGCCTAGGCACGGGCACAGCTCTCTCGGCTACGAGGAAGGGCAGACGCTGAACAAGAGCCCCTCCTCCGCCGCGGTTGACCGTCGTCGCGTGCTGTAGAGTTGGAGAAGGAAATTGATAGTGACGGAAGTACACACCAACTGCCACGATCCGTTCCTTTCCGCCGTCCGTCACTCCGTCACATGCCCGACATATAATCGTGACTCTTGATTGCCCAGCATTCAATTCCAAGCTAGTAGTGGTAAGTATGTGTGCTGACTATTCGATTTCTCTTGTTCTTTTTTTCTTCTTTTTTTTCTTTTCGCTGAATCAGTGTGGTTTGACGGCTCGGTCCTTTTTCCGTTTTTCTGGAGCTGGTTTATCTTGACTGTCTCCTTGATTGACAGAGCAAAACTGCTCATTATCTGCACCATACCCAATGTTTATTCTGGAGATACTATATGGCATCCATCCGGCCTGTGTCTTTATTGTGGTACTGTAAGAGAGCTGTAGATATGTGTACCCACGCTGTAAAGTGAGACAGAGTTGGCAACGCACAGAGAGTCTTGCCGTGATACCGTCGAATTAACGCCCCGAATCACCATTCTCTACCTGGCTGATAGCTGTTCGAATAAAGGACCTAAACATACACATTCGCACCTCGGGCTAAACAATTGCGAACCGTTGTTACGGCCAGAACCGGCGGGAAACTCGCTTGAAGCGCACCTCTACGGTCGGCTATGTAAGCCGGGTCGAGGTACTTATCGTGCTATCATCGAACCATGGGCATAGGCAGTATGACGCCGAGTCGGGGCAGGTACCTGCGTACCATTGCCGTCCGCCCAGAGCATCAGGAACTCTCCACTGAGGAGCCCTGGCCCGGCCTTGTTCCTGTCGTCCCCGGCAATCCCAAGCTCTCGCCTTCTTGAGGTCCCAGTTCCTATTCCGTCTCCATTACCAGAAATAAACCTACACGAAACACCTCCCGTACGCTGCACGCGACCTCTCCTCACTCCCATTGACTATGCGGCAGTAGATCTGGCTTTAATCTTCAACCTCGTCTCCTAATCCCTCGACATCTCTTCCTCCGCATTTCGCCCGCTCGTGTCTGTTCCATGTTGCCCTGCGTCATACAGCCTCGGTAAAGGCCGCCCCAACTCGGTCACGCGGGGTTCGATTCGAATACCTCATTTCAACAGTAGATCGCCAATTCAGAGCCGCCCAACATGTCGTGGAGGAAGACGGATAGGTTGATGGATACCATCAGGCATTACGCCAGTTTCCCGGCAACTGGTGTGAGCTTGAGGCAGATGGTCCAATTTGGAGAGAAGCCTTCAGTTGGTTCGTCAACCCTTGGCAACTCCCCTCCGTTTCCTAACGGCTTGCATTTACCTCCCTTCTGCTCCGTTGCTTGCTGAGCTTGCATGCGATAACAATGCGCCAGTTCCTACTTGACTAGCTTTTTGTTCAAGCTGCCATAGTGCTGACTGTTCATTCTGCTTCCAGGAACCCTCTTCCGTGCCTCACAATTCCTTGCCGAGGAGCTACCAATCCGCCTTGCCCATCGTGTACAAGAGCTCGACGAACTTCCAGATGGCCTCAACGACATGCCCTCCGTGAAGCGAGTGCAGGACTGGTACGCACAGTCATTCGAGGTATGTCAAGGCTTTTCTGTCGCATAATGCATGAAGGACATGACTCACTGACACTCATCCGTCCGCGCAGGAACTCACACAACTTCCCCGACCTGACTTGGATAAATCAACAAAAGAAAGGCTCTTGAGGCCTGCCAAATCGTACGGGAAAGGTCCAATGCTCTCCGAGGCAACCCGAAACCCGAGTATCGAGGAAGGCCAATATGCCTCTTTGCCGCAGTCCAATGGAAACGGCTGGAGCAAGCAGAAGAACGTCGCCGCACGGAGATATTTTGCAATGGTGGATGATGTCGGCGATTGGCCGCCTGAGCTGCGTTTGTACAACGAGCGCTTCGCCAAAGCCCTGCATGGCATCAAGAGGCGCCACGACGGAGTTGTCACCACCATGGCACAGGGCATCCTGGAGTACAAGCGCAAAAGACAGCGCATGCAGATTGATAACAACATCCAGTCATTCCTCGATCGATTTTACATGTCGCGCATAGGGATCCGCATGCTCATCGGTCAGCACATTGCCTTGACCGATCAAAGCCACCACCGGGATCCCACCTATGTCGGCATCATCTGTACCAAGACCAATGTTCAGGATCTCGCGCAAGAAGCCATTGAGAATGCGCGCTTTGTCTGCGAGGACCATTACGGACTTTTCGAAGCACCCAAGATTCAACTCGTTTGCAACCCTAACCTGAACTTCATGTACGTTCCAGGGCATCTTTCGCATATGCTCTTTGAGACTTTGAAAAACTCTCTCCGCGCCGTTGTCGAAACACACGGTCAGGATAAGCAGGAATTCCCTGTGACCAAGGTCATTGTGGCAGAGGGTAAGGAGGATATCACCATCAAGATCTCGGACGAGGGTGGTGGTATTCCCCGAAGCTCTATACCTCTCGTTTGGACATATATGTACACCACTGTGGATCGCACACCGAATCTAGACCCGGACTTTGATAAGAACGACTTCAAAGCGCCTATGGCTGGCTTTGGGTATGGATTGCCTATCTCACGACTTTACGCGCGATACTTTGGCGGAGACTTGAAACTTATCAGCATGGAAGGGTGAGTCGCGCGCTGTGCCATGGACTTATTTTACGTAACCCCAAGCTAACCCCGAATGTAGATATGGCACGGATGTTTATTTGCATCTCAATCGTCTGTCCAGCTCATCGGAACCTCTTCAATAGGGACCAGCAGTCATGAGGGACAGGAACGCTCGAGGATTGACGCTAGGGTTAAGGTATACACTGCACAAGAGGCTTAAGGATCGCGAGATCACGGAGCGTCGGCAGGTTGGAGACGCTCAGGAGATGATGAATCGGGGCGACACCGATCCTGGGTATTTCAAGCAAAACAACGACTTGTGATTAGCCTGTCTTGAAACAGGCCATTAATCGCTCCTCAATATTCGGCGATCGAGACCATGTCGGAGAGCCGAACCCCTCCGTTACTTGATCCATAGCGGCAAGGCGAGGGACGTCGGGGCTTCTACACTTAGGTTGACGACACCTTGAGGGCGGGAGTACTATAAGCCAGCATCATGTTGGAATCTGGGATGGGATCATCTCCGCGCCCGTTGTGGCACGCGGGGAGGACACATCGTTTTTTGTTTTCTTCTTTTGGGTATGGTTTGGGGGCATTTCCAAAAAAGAATTACCCCGGCTGGACAGGAGCACGGGATCACACACACACATTGGACAGGCCGCATCGGCAATGAGACTGGATGGCGGTGGGCGTCTCGGGTTTCTTTTTTGCCACATGTTTCTCTCGTTACACAGTTGAAATACACATGGTTGCATAGGGAACGTTTTGATTTGCAAAGTGAACTGACTATTAGTGAAGTTGCGGTTACCTGACTATCGAGGTACCTGAAAGAGCAAAACTTTTCCGTGCCTTCCTTCCCATGATCCTAACCGTTCCGAACCGCCACCGTCCTATCGTTGAGAAGTTGCAAAGTTGAAGAGAAGTCGAACCCCACGTAATCCGTGGAAATATGCCCAGAAGTGCCATTCCTTCGCGTTCCCTCATTTCTCAGGCGTTGTCCCCGTGAAGCTTCCATAGACTATAGCTGCGCTGTAGCTGGTAGCAAACATCAAACTTCCTCCCACTCCCTCAGGCATGTGAGGTTGGTCGGTTGTTTGTTGCCGGATGACTTGCCCGTGAAAATTGGGACGGAATGGCTCTGCGCTGAGCTGCGATCAAAACGCAGGCAAGAAACTCAAAGAAGCTCAAATAAAGAAAAGGAAGAAAAGAAAACAATGAGACAGATGAGGGCGTCGAGTAACCACTGATGGAAATGTTCTCCATGGCGGCATGAAACCACCGCTACCAAATAGAGTTATTTGGTGCCCAGATGACGCGTGGAAGAATGAGGTTCCTACTCGTCGTCACTGTCGTCATCGCCGTTGCCGTACGGAATGGGGTTGAAGATTGTTTGAGGCTGAGGCCTGCCTCTCTGGAGCGCGCGGTGCTCCGCCTTCGTGAGCTGCTTTCTATCGCGCTGACGATCCTTGAGAGTGCGTTAGTAGGGTACTGAAACATTGGAAAGTGATAGATGGACTTACACCGGGCCAGGGACCGCTAGGCGCAACGCTCGAAGCGGCGAGAGCCGTAGTGTTGGATCCGGTCTCGGGGCGACCTCCCTCGTAGGTATAGCGACTCTTAATCATGGAAGAGCCACTGGACTGGGTAGTGGGGACCTTGGTCTTGATATGCTTCTTGCCAGCCGAGTCGTAGGCATTGAAGTCGATATCAAGGAAGGTGTTGTGAAACTCGTAATCACGACCTGTCTCAATGGTACCTGCGATAGCCGAGGTAGCAGCAGAGGCAATGCTCTCGCTGTCCAGGCCGGAGGCGCCGGCATTGTAGCTAGCATGGCCGACATTTCTAGCCCCAAGGCCGATCGGGCCAGCAATGTAGGGCTGACGAGTCTCGATGCCCATAGACTCAATGCGAGTCGAGAGGTCATCCGCGGCAGTGAGGCCGTTGGTTCCAGTGACGGGAGCGAGGGGCTGTCAGCACATTAGTCTTGTTCAAGTTGGCAGTTCATGGTCTTTCTTACCTGATCAACCTCACTACGGAAGTCAAAGATCTCAGAGGGATCAGTCGGCAGGTGGCTCACGTAGTCGTCCGTGTTCTCCAGGGGGTCCAGTTGAGTGTTAGGACCGGCCCAGGGAGTGTAGCCGGGCTCCTGGGTGTTGATCCAGTGCTGGCAAGACTTGCAGAACTGTACACAAAGATGTGAGCAGAAGTGGAAATGGTATGCGTCTCAGGTACTCACGTTGACGCCATTGGTTCTGTTGTTCTTGGAGAAATGGTCCAAGGTCTTAATCTCGTCACATGGACCTTCACATCGGATCTCATTGACGGGTTCGCCCGAGTGGATGCGGCAGACCATGCCAGTGTTGGCACGGTTGACTCGAGCGTGTCGATCAAGCTTGTCTTGAACAAGCTTCTGCTGCTTCTTAGAGAAGCCGGACATCGGCTTCCACTCACCGCCAATCTTGCAGCGATACCTATAAGAAAGTGTCAGCGGTGTCAGAGACTAGTCGCATTGGCACAATTCTCGTATAACGCAACTTACTTCTCGGCCATATTCTCGCCAAGCTTCTCACCAAGGTCCTGGGAACTGAGAAGTATTTGTTAGTGCCGTTGGCTACAGTGAGAAGATAACGCTGCATTTTACTTACCTGCTAGGACGAGAGGAGTAGTAGGAAGACATGGCTGTGGTCTCGGTGTGTGTGTGTGTGTGTGTGTTGGGACCTATGTATGTTGAGAAGATCACCAAATGTTTTTGGCGTGAAGAGTAGGAGGTAGAATGAAGGGTTTCTTGACTTGGAGGCACAAGCAACAAGTAATGATGTGAGTATCGGTGTTGACGGATCTGAAGAATTCTTGAGAAGAATTGATGAAAGATGCGTATTGAGGAAAGGATTTTGGAATGTCGATGGGAATTTCTTGGGGATCGAGTGTGTGAGTGAGCGAGGAGGGACGAATGGAAGGTTGGAAAGAAAGAAAACTCGGGTCAACAGCCTGCCCGTTAGGCAGCCAAGGGCATCTAGAGAAGGCGCGTTTGTTATTCCTCGTCGTTCCTACCCTTCTCAAGGCAGGAACAAAGGGATGGTGAGAGGAAAGAACGATGGCCCAGTAGAGCACCTGAGCAGTCACTCAGCTTGAGACCGAAAACATCGCATGATTCATTCGCTTGATCAATCACTCCAAGAACACCACATCGTGACTACACAGTAGGATAAGAACAGGCAGTTCCATGGAATCATCTTGAAAGTTTTGCACTTACTTAGTACTCAGTGGTTTCCTTAGTATCTTATACGCACATGCTAGACGGCCAATAGTATATGTCAAAGATAAGACACACGTGAAGTTTGATGTGTTACCTTGGTCCACACACCCGGCGAGCAACCTGATGCATTTTGACCTTGAACAAGATATTTGCCATCGATTGCAACTTCTCAATAAGTAGCTACCTATCTAGTATGTCGATGAGCTCAAGTGGTTGCTAGACTTAGGAGAACCCGCAAGCAGGATACTCCAACTACTTGCCATTTACCTGGATGGTACTGACGAGTCCCTGAGGTGCAAACATTTACCTCCGAAACAGCTCAAGACAGCAAGGTTTCCCCCCCAAGCGAAGAACGTTCCTATGCATTGGGAAGATGCTTCGCAAAGCTGGCCTGGCGGCTCTCTCAAAACGCAGTCTTGCTACTGTACCTTCTTCTATCATCACTGACCATCGTTCTTCGTCTGCAGCTTAACGGTTTCTTCACTTCCAGAGTCATAGACTTACGCATCGACATATGGGAAGGAGCCCATACAAGATTTCATATCGATGCTGAACAGTGTACATTCAGAGTCAGCCTAGAGCCGGTGCATAGGATCCGCTTCCAATATAATGAAACTTCTTTTGGAAAACAAGCACATACGACCACACCCATCAGAAAATTCGGGATCCCGTCCGCTCTCCCATAGACAAGCTGATGAGGGCCAGATTAGTAGTTGAGTCGGTGACGATCAGCGAATACCTGGTGTTGTATGTTTTTGCTTTTTCAAATGACCGGCCACGACCGTTGCAGTTTTGCGGTCGTATTCCGTGTCGTCAGCCGCCACCCGGAGCCACCTCCGACGAAGCAAAAAAAAAACCTACCGGCGCTGTGGAACCCCGGCAGTCAGACGCATAAAGCTTGTACACTTCCGGCTCTCACAAAAAAAACGGCTTATGCACTCAATTCACATGGTTCGGTATTCTTCACATGGAGGACGTTCCGTTCGGTACGATACTCTGTTGTCCGGTGGACGGCAGTGGATGCCCTCGTCTCCATTCGGTAATGTACACCGCTGCATCCGCCATCTTACTCAACCTGGGGTTCCATTCGGTCAGTCTTCCATCGTGAAGAGAAAAAAACGAGAAGAATATTCCACAGCTTCCAGAAGCGGAATCGAATCTCCACGCCTGGCAGGGCGCTAGACTTTACAGGGCATGGGGCTACTGCAACAGCGGCCTCTAATTCTCAGTTCAGGGCCTTGTCTCAACGAAATTTCGAAGCGAGGCGAGCGCGGGGACTCTTTCCTATCGTTCACGAGATGGACGAGAGAGGGGAGGGGGTGTTGGACTACGATACCTAGGTTCTGCTCATCTCGCGTGAAGCTTTCCAAGGGTCCAACAAGTGGCCCTACACTAAAACGAAACAGCCTTTGTGAATCACGGTAGAGGGATCGTCGAAGATTCCAATACATCTGCGTCGTTGCCACGGGCACCTTTCATATCGCGGCATCCGGACTAGGAAAAAGAGCTTCTGCCCGGCCACGCGGCGGCTCCGGATCGGCGGTTTCCCAACTTCGTGGGACGGATGCTTCCCAACCACCCGCGGCGGCCCTCCCCTCCCAGTCCCACCCTGAATCCCACCAGCATCCTTCCAATGTCTGGGCGTGTGTGTCTTCAAGGGCGGTGGTTGGTCCAGTTGCAATAGCAGCAATTAACGGAATCGTGCAAAAAGAGGATGGGAAAATTTCCGTTGCCCAGAGATGAGGGTGACGAGAGATGGAGCAATCTGTAACCACCTCACAGGACCCCTGGAGGATATGTACCTATGCAACAACGGAGATGCACAGCGTCAGAACTCTCTAGGTCCGCACAGGTGCATCGGCAGCACGACATCGTGATCTCCGCGCCCACCCCGAGTCAGCACAAGGATGAGTGAAGCGTGGCTTTCTGGGAAATAGATGTCCATACGGAGTATATCCACCGATCACGAGATCACGTTCTGATCAGTCACAAGTTATTGCAAGACCCCTCCGAAATTGGCACAACGCCATTGTCCCTACGAGTCTCGTGTAGAAGCCAAGAGCTAGCGAAACGAGAGTGCCCGGCCTACAACACTCCATTCGCTGGATGAAGAGTTAGAGAAGTGGTCGGTAAATCATCCTCCACAATATGAGGTCCAGCGGCAGCAGAATAGGCGGGAAGCACCCTGGCATAAGGTAGGCTGTTAGACAAGGCGGGACAGAGTCGCCCGAGAGGAGTTATTCGCTTCGCAACGCAACCACGGATGAACTTGAGACGACATGGGGCCCGGGCAAGGAACCCGCGGCCCAGAGCTTCTGGAAGAAGTCTGTTGCGCGTCGCATGGTATGCGTATCCGTATGGATAATGCAGCGCAGCAGGTCCGGAGGTCTGCCTTGCCCTTTTCACGAGACAATTCGCACGTCCCTCCCCTCCCTCCCCCCCATGGTCATGGACGGGACAGAGGGGATTCAGAATAAGGGGGGGTGGTTAGTGGAAACACGGGCGACAGATTGTATCACGACGAAAATCCCACGAGGGGTCCCTGAAAATGGGCCAATGCTCTGTTCTTTTCGAGGAAGCGGGAAACCAATCCTAATCCCCCCAACCCCTTGTCTGGCAATATTCGAGGGCACATTAACGGCCCCCAAGTAAAATCATCGAGAACGAACTCGGAACAAGAAACACTCTATGCGGAGCCAAAGCCCCGCCCTTGTGCGTGCGATGGGATTGTCCATCATCTCGCTGGTTCCATGCCTCGAAGTTGGTCATGATAATGCGGCCATGCAGTGCTATCCCAAGCCCAGCTGAGCATGGTTGTGGGCTCGATACCTTCTACCAAAAGACGCTGTGCCACAAATCCAGATTGGCCCGAATCTTTGGGGGCGTTGGAGGGAACGGAAACCCGGCCAAACCTTGGCCAAGTTCATGCCCGTCACCAAAAACGTCGGTGATATTGCAGCCGCACGGCTTGCATTTTGCATGGCATGGGCCCAACCAATCTGCCAGGCATAGGATAGGTATCGACTATTGCCAAATGGCATTGCCCATTTGGCGGGGTATGTTGGCCAAAATGCCAAAACGCAGCCCGTCCCAAGAGACCGGCGGACGGCGCGGGCTTTGCATTCCCTGGGATCCTGATCCCCCTCCTCCTCCAAGGGTCCGACCCTGAAGAGAAGCATAAAGCTGTGCAGCATTGAACACTACCATGGCCGGCGATTGAAGGTGGCCATGTCCATGCTCTCTGATTACCAGGCCGGAGCATACAGGTGACAGAAGAACCCGGTCTCGTAGTTGCGAATCCACCACGAGATGATCGCCCTCCTTCGTCTTCCTGCCTGCCTGATGGGTTCACTGGTGTGAACTTCTAAAGTATCTGTCAGGCTGAAAGACAACCTAGAGGCAAGGCGAAAGGGTGCATCTAGCAGGCGAGAAAGGGGTCGTGGAGTCCATACGATGGGGGCGCTCTAGTACTAGTGGAGAGATTGTCTTACCTTAGTCAACGTGTTGAAGATGTGGCCGCGGCGGCGGCGGCGATGGCGCCAACGGAGGAGGGGAAGGCCAGTGAACCCGTTCACTAGGTCAATAACTTACTCATACAGGCGCTCATCTTCCTGGCAACTTGGCCCATTGAGATTTACTTCATCTCACAGTGCAGCCAGTGGGCGGGCGGGTTTCTCTCGCCCAGCAAAGTTTTGGGCTTGGATGGGATTATTGCGTCTGGGCTGGCACGGACACTCATTACTGGGAAACTTGGGCAAAAGGGCGATTATTCCCCACCAGCTGTCATTCCAAATGGACGCCGGCCGTCGAACCGCGGATGTGCCGGTTGGTCGTCCGGGTCCCATGCCTTTGCAAAGTTCGTGCCAGGTCCCCTGGCCATGTACCTTTTTTCCCTCATCGTCTTTTTTCTTCACGGAGGTATTCACTGTGAGAGTTTCTTTCCCCATCTATTTTCACTACGCAACCAAGGGCCCTTGGTGGGAAAAGATACAGACACTGGGATGAGGGCTGGGATATGAGTCGTGACGGGCTCCGTGCGGAAAGGCTACCTACAGGCTGCAGTACCTGGAGGCTGGGAACCAGTCAGTCCGGCTTGTAACCTGACCACTACCTGTGGGAACGGGAAGAAGGGAAGGGGGGAAACGCTCCGATCCATCAGTGAAGACGGTGGATCGTTTCACGGAATTTCTTCACCGTCTGGCGCGGATGGAGAAAACTGACCGGTCGATGGAACCCTCGGGCTCGGGCCTACGAATACCTTAGTGTAGATGACACCAAATGAAGCGACGTTGACTGTGATGATGTACAAGTATGAAGCGCATGCACTTAACCGGGGTTGGCCACCCTGGTTCATATTTATGCAGAGGCTCTGGGTATCTCCTTAGATTACTCATGCTACTACCGGGTACAATCCAACGACGACTGATGACCACCAAGCAGTTGTTTGAATGGATGATTAATTCTTGTGAATCATCTATGTGCAGGACGTTCGAAAAGAACCCTTTGTACGGACGACCATACATACCTCTCTCTCTCTCTCTCTCTCTCTCTCTAACCAGCCGAGTACCAAATCAAGTACCCAACTCCAAGCCTGAGTAATAAACCTCAGAGATGAATGCAATGTAGTTCCAAAATACCAATCCCTCCCCAACGCCTCTCTTGAGTTTTTGATTTTCTGTATACCCCATTTCCGGCCTTTCTCTGAATAGTTGCGTGAGCATCTTTGAATCGTCTAGTTCCCCCCCTCATGAGCTGCGTTGTGGATGCTGCAAGCCGTTTAGTCAGTCAACATTCCCCATAGTGCATGTTCAATGTACATACCCAATGTCCGCAGGGTTTCCCGGGGACTGCGGGTCAGCTCGTGTCCGGGCCGCCAAGCCATTGGTCTTGGCGATTTTAGCAGCAGGAGTTTCCGCAGAGTCCGCAGGGCCGGTATTCACGGGGCCGCTGCTGGCAACAAGCGCCTTACGCTTTCTGCCGCTGTTGCGGGCATCGTCGAGCTGCTCCAGGTAGGCCTCAGAAACAGGGGTAACATAGCAGCCGCTGAAAACGCCGATCTCGAAAGTCTGCGTCTTGGGGTCACGAGGAGAAAGCTCGGCGCATGAGGCCACGAGATCCTCGACCGTCTGGTAGATGATGTCATCAGCACCGATTTGCTCGGCGATTTCGGCGTTGGTGCGTCCATGAGCAATCAGATCCTTTTGCGATGCCAAGTCAATGCCGTGGACATGGGGGTGGATGACCTCGGGCGAGCACGAGCTGAAGATGACCTTGCGAGCTCCGGCCTCACGCGCCATGGTGACGATCTCTCGGCTAGTCGTTCCGCGAACCACCGAGTCATCAACAAGAAGCACGGTCTTGCCCTTGAACTCGGAATCAATGGTGCTGAGCTTGCGGCGAACGCTCTTTTGACGCATCTGCTGTCCAGGCATGATGAAAGTTCTGAAGACGTAACGGTTCTTGACGAAACCCATGGAATAGGGCTTCCTGAGTCGCTCTGCCAAAGCTGCAGCAGCCGTGTTGGAAGTCTCGGGGATAGGGATAACAACATCGATATCCTTAACGGCCTCCTCGCCCAGCCGAGCGATGATATTGTCAGCCAACTTGATACCCTGGCGGTTGCGGGACTCATGGACACTGATTCCATCAATGACACTGTCAGGCCTTGCAAAGTACACTTGACTACGTCAGCAAGTCCCAGCATCAATTTCAAGATTGTAGCTTCTTACCGTATTCAAAGATGTCAGGGCTGTATGAAGCCGGCTCCTGAATCTGGTGGAAAACAGGAGGGCAGCCCTTCTTGAAGAGAACAGCCTGTCCAGGCAAGACATCGGTGATGTTCTTGAAGCCCAGCTGGCGCAGAGCAATCGACTCCGACGCAACCATGTAGTCGTAAGCGTCGTCATCAGGGTTAGGAGTCGACTTGCGAGAACCCCAAACCAAAGGACGGATACCATCAGGGTCTCTGAACGCAACCACACCATAGCCAGCAACCATGATGACGCTAGCCCAGGCACCCTGAATGCGCTTGTAAGTGCGCTCAAGCGCACTGAACAGATCCGTCTCGTTGATACGTGCCTTTCCAGTCTCATTAAGCTCGTTGGCAAAGACAGACAGCATCAGCTCACTGTCACTGCTGGTGTTGATATGCCTGTGAGCGTCCTTGTCCAGGAAGGCACGGAGCTCGGCAGCATTGGTCAGGTTGCCATTGTGCGACAGGCAGATTCCATACGGGCTGTTGACGTAGAACGGTTGAGCTGTGATCTGCGTTAGCCTCTCAAAGGCCGTGAGGTGTCACCAGCACAGCTTTGTTCTGACCTTCAGCACGTCCACTGCTTCCCCAGGTAGGGTAGCGAAGGTGACCAATGCCCATCCATCCAGGCAAGTCAATGACCCTCTTGCCGTCCTTGAAGACGGTCGCTGCCATGCCAGAATCCTTGTTCATGAAGATTCGTCCTCCATAAGAACTGCTGGTGTCAGCCAAAGCCTGTAATTGGCTAGGTGTCCTTGAGGTTCCCTTACCTAGTCGCAATACCGCAGGCGTCTTGGCCGCGGTGCTGAAGAAGGTACATGGCTTCATGGATGTCCTGCGCAGCGTCGCAGTTGTCTTCATCCCGGTCATAATGACCCATGCAGATTCCAAGAATTCCACACATCTTGCCTTGCTCTTTGCGGTATCTTGCAGGAGATCAGTGATTCTCGAGGTCTATCCAATGCTTCCGCGTTCCAGGAAGCTTGGCAAACGTTTGCGCAGAAGGGACCAGCGTAGTTATGGGTGTTGGTGTTCGAGATAGCTTCGGTCGTGGGTGGTGGCGGGGTATCCGATGGCGGGGTATTTTTTTTTTAGTTGGACAGGGTCCACGCCGTGTTTTCTTCGTGTTTCGGACTTAGGAAAAAGAGAGTCGGGGGAACGAGGCAACACGAGATCTTCGGGACGAAGCAAGCCGGCCTCTTCGAGAGAAAATGGATTGGCTCTCGTACTTCGACGAGGGAACGGTGAGGCTCCAAGAAGGAAGAAAAATATTTTCGACAAATGTCGTCGGCGAAAAGCAATTGGGGTAGGAGCAGAAAAAAAATTCCTCCAACAGTCGCAAACCTTCAGAAGGAATGAATAAGTGGGGCCGATTATCGGTGCTTTCTACCACGCGGTGGGAGCGGCATGTGCGGCAGGTTGTAGGTACCTACGCCCCGGATAAGGCTCCGTATCAGCGTTCCTCGTGCTCCCACAGGGCGCTCATCGCGTTCTTGTCGAACCCTTCTCTCCGCAGTAGTGGACCTCTTTGTTGGCTCCCGTGAACCGTTACTCCGGTCAGCCTGCATCTTGAGGGATTTCACCCTCCCACCGGTTCAAGCGATGCATTCCGAAAGCCCGATGTGGTTGTAGGCTGAAAAGGGTAGGTCCAGTGACGGTAGCCACGTGGTGCATGTGCTACTAGGCCTTAGGAGATAAGCTGGAGGACATGGAACCCGTGAGGGTGCACCCCAACTCTGGCCGCATGCGGTGTAAGTTGGTGGCACTGAACCGTAGGGACTGATGGAGCTGGCGATGAGAAACTGGGGAGGCAGTCATACTTCAGTCGCCATCATTGCCAACTGCGACCCTCAATGTCAAGCATTCGTTGATATAGTCAACTTTCTCTAATAGTATACCCTACTAAGTATAGATCGATTCAAATACTAAGCAGGTACTCGATTGCGTTGTTTATACTATACTTTGTTGCATCAGACTTAGATTTGACTCTCGTTCGGATCCCCTTCGATAGCAAGGTACGTAGATGGAGTTGGTGGGTAAGAGAGCATTGGATTAAGACACGCCCGGAAACCACCACAGGTGGTAACAGCCCTCGCGATATCTGGTTTTTGTCAATGAGGTTGAGTCTGCATGAGCCACCCACCCATCTTCCTGTTCCTTATCTTCCGTCAGAGACAAGAGACACAGGCAAACGCTACTGTTTCGTTTGCTGGTTTCTTGGGCGGAACGAGGCTTTACATTCTCGGGCAGTCCTCCGCCAACTGGACATGATGGAACTAGGCACTTACATTTTCCATGCCGGCAAATACCTCCCACCTGTGGAAAGAAGGATCCTTGAGTCGGTGACTATGAAAATTCGTGACATGTGCAGATATGTGGATTTCCTCAAACCATCATTTCCCCGCAGGAAGTCGGTATGACTCTCCAAGCAGCGGTGAGGATCTGGAACTAGGTCAGATGGTGCACCGCTATCTTAATATCATTGACATCGCATTTCATTTCTCTCCCAGCTCTATATAGATAGCGCGTGGTATGTGTTTCTCACTTGTAGGGTCAAAGCCCTTGAAAACCACCAAATACCCAATCTATCAGCAAACTATAGCATGTAAGACTGCGTGAGGTGAATTGTGATAGAGACTCACAGTCTGAGCATCATTTATCGGGGATATTCATTTAAACATAGAAGAACAAAGATCGGCTATAATAATATCCATCATCGCGAGCTTCATACCCATGCACAACGTTTTATGCAACAAGTGGATCGTAGCCCGGCCATGCCCCTGGTCGAACGCCTGGTCTAACGGGCAGTGAGCACAGATCTGGTGGTTCTCAAATTGCCCCGGGTGCGTGGTGCCCAACGTTCCTCCGTAGCTCGTCGATCAGCGCCTTTCCTCATCAAAGTCCCCTTCCAAGGATGACGGTCCCCTCTGGTCCCTCTGGTCCTCTCTAGCTGCCAATCTAACGGAAAGGCCCGTGGAATTGTGAGGAGGGGGAGGGGGAGGGGAAAACTATGAAATAAGATACTCGTTGGGCGGGGGTTTGACAAACATCATTTCCTTGGGTAGGGAGGCCAAAGACACGTCTCGAGATGACGACGTCGAGTCGAAGTGAGGTGACACCGGTCAGTGTCGCATTGCGACGTGCTCGGTCGGTGTTCAACTTGTTTGCTTCACCAATGTCGCTGTTGTCGTCGTATCCTCCGTGCCATGAGTCTGTTGCTTTGGCCGCATGTTCCTGAGACTTGGCGCGGTGTCAATCGCAGTGACAGTTGCATAGACGCAGCGACGATAGTGTACGCACCCGCGTGCGCACCGCAGTGCGCCTGCGGCAAGGCGGCAAACCATCTCAAGCAACCAAACGTCCTGATAGTCTTTCGACTCTGTAGAGGCAGGAATCTCACATACGGTTGATGGTAACGGAGGCAATCAGGGGCGGGGGGGCCTTGGCTCCTGTTAGAGACGGCGCATACGCCTACATGTTCCAGACGTTTTCCATACTATGGGCCCAAGCAATAGTATCGATCATTTTTTTCTCGGCAGGTTGCGGCGGATTGCAGTGTGTCATTCGGTTTGGGCATCTCCACTGATTGTCTCATTGCGACAAGCTGATGGTTTAGAACGAACGGGAAGAGGGCCTCTTTGCCCCATGAGCTCCGTTCGTTGGCATGGTCACCGGTGAGCTTTCCCAAAGCATCACAAGTTCCCTAGGTTCCAGAGTCCCAGAGTCCCAGTACGTATACGTAGGCGAGGGAAGACTGAAGAGAGGTGGGCAAAGAAAAGCTCAATTGTCAGTTCCGGCTCCCCGTGTTCGGGTCGAGCTTGATCGAGAGCTTCGAGGCACGCTGAACAGGGCGCCCTGTTCTGGTTGGCGACCCCTTGTTGCCTCGGCCGGTTGGCGATGTGCGCCATCATAAGCCCGTGGTCGACTTCTGACCCAAGTGTCTGGTAATTGGGTATTACGGCGGAGGAGAAATCAGCCGAGCGAGTCATCCTACATCGACAGACTTTTGTAAGTTGGTGGCTTCATCGGGGAGTTGCTGAACGTTGGACGGCGAGTTAATAGCAGCACTGCAACGTCACCTGCTGGCGCCATGCATCGTGCTATAGCAAATTGTAAGTGCAAAAGTGCATACGTCAGGGGAGCTACCTTTTTCTTCCTCTCGATACCTTAATCAACGAAGGATTGGCAAAGTGCTCTCGGTTCTGCGTCAAAAAGACCCCCGAATGCCACGGAGGAAGGTCCTGAAGTTCATCACCGCGGAAGCAGGTACAGTGCTCATGTAGCTCCCTGCCTTTTCTGGGCTAGAGCCGGCAGGAAGGCAGGAAGCGCCCTCCACCTGCATTCTTTCCCTCTGCGCCCAGCGCGACATGTCATCATCCGACATCCAGTCTCTCTGAGGCAGGAGGCAGGCAGGTACGGATGCTCCCCTCCTGATTCCCTTTCCCGCAACCTTCCCGCCGTGTTTCATCATTTCTCCTGGGTCACCAAAGTCAACACCAGGCTGCTGGGAATCTGGGCTCGCCCATTCGCACATCAATGTCGAGCGCCAGCCTACCAGGTGGGCTGCCTCCACGTTTTTTGCTCCCCTGTGCCTGGTTTTTCTTGTTCCTGACTTATGGACGTGCCCACACTGACGCGCTTCTGGCTACAGGATCAGGTTCGCACCGACAATCCCAACCCCGCCGACGTCGCCTCTATTGTCTATCGGAGAAGAGGTCCAAGAGAAGGAGGAGATAGTCAATTGCTGGCTACCTACGCAGTATGGTTTCGGCTGATGTCACGGCGTCTCTGAAGATCGGATATGAGTGTATGTCTCTGGAGTAGCTTGTTCGCAAGATGACATAATAGGCAGTTTGACGAGACCCAGACCCCCTTCGGCGGCATCACTGATACTCCATCCTCATTTTCACCACGAGCAAATCAAGAAACAGTTCCAGGCAAGCAGGAAGGCTCTTCAGGCCCGTTCCGCAGGCCCCGAGCTAAGGTAGCACTAGGGGGGGGGGGGGGGGCAGGCAAACGAGCCGGCGACGAACAAGGGCACATGGCGGATGCCCATAAAGCATGTTGGTACGAACAGTACTCCGTAACACACCATATGGATACCTACTCGATACTCCGCACCGCTGGCTTGAGTTGAGGCTTGAGGACGTTTGGATTTTACTCTGCTTCTGTACTAGTAGCGTGTGGATTAAGTTATATGACTGTGTCGGCCAATTCAGAGGCTTATTAACTCAGCGTCTAGGGCTCAACGGCGAGACATGAAACGACGAGAAACACCTGCACAATTCCCAGCATGCAGGGTGGGTGTTTGCATTTCCCAATCCCACCCGAGGTGGTGATGAGATTTGCAGATTTGAGAATGGAACTCGTACGCATTGCCACACCTACCCGTATTCTACGAGCTACCGCGCTTCATCAACGGTTTATTTCACGGCTACCGCGATAGGCCCGTCGCTACCTAAGGCTCATCTTTGAGTTACTTGGCCGGATCATCAGCTCTCCCCACCATTCGGATGCTTCCATTCGCCTTCTCTGCCCCTGGCATTGCCAACTAGTAGTATTCAATGATGCCGACGGCGTTGATGCGGCAGTAATCCACCAATGCAAGGCGGGCCAGGTACCACGTACCTCCCACACAGCCAAATGGGAAAGATGTGCTTCGGTACCTGAACATCGCGACGCTGGGATGCTTGACAGCGTACTGCGTAGTTGGACACACGGGCCTGGCATAAATGGCCCTAGCCGGCGTTTGCCTGCTGTTTCGGGGGCTTGTGCGAGCAGCCAAGGTCGCGCCAGATCCATCGGAGGCGCTATGTATGCACAAAGCTGGCCGTCTTCTATTTTGTGTTCTGAAAAAGCGACATGGTGGTACGGATACCGCCCGCGGTGACAATCCAGGCGTGAGGCCCAACATGCCTGCCAGTCAGTCTCGGGCAGCCTTCGAGGTTAGCGTTTGGGCCCTAACGTGGCGCCTCCCGGCCCCCCGGCTGGTCTACTGGTTGGCGTGGACAATTTCCCATCGTCCCCTTGCTTCTTACCTCTTTCGCACTCGTTCTGCCAGCCGGTGCCGCTTGCTGCACACCACACGATGAGCTGGCTGCTGCTGTCAAACTTGGAGACCCGAGGGAAAGGAATAGTGAGAGAGGAACGCGGCAGCTGTCCTATGATTACCTAGGTAGGCGGCAGGTACCTACCCATACGGTCGAAGCTGCTACACAAGCGCACACCGCTGACCTGGCTCGTAGACATCACAGTACAGCTGCGGGCTCGAACTCATCACGTCCTGCCAGGCCCCGGTTTTGGTTCATTCGCGTCGATGTCGCGTTGCCGAATGAAGCGCCTCAGTACAGATACGTACCGATGGAACCAAACGTTCACCTAGCTCACCGAGATACATCCTATGTATCCAGATAAGGTATGGAGGCGTGGGAGGTAAAGCACGAGGTGAGGTTGTGGAAGAGGACAAGGATACGTACCTGAGCTACCGGCTAGAAGTCAGGTACGTACTGTGCCTGAGCTCACACCAAGGTGACCAAAAGTGACCAAACGGACGGACATGAGCAGCATCCACTTTCCACCTTCCCCGAGCTTGCGGCCCCTTTTTCTTTTTAATCTTTTTTCTCATTCAGAGGTGTGATGTGATGGTGATGCTTCAGTCCATCCACCACTACTAGAAACACCATTTTGAGCTCGGTTTCATGGATCGAATTGACAATTAGCCAGATGGAGGCGACGAAAAGACACACTGACAACACAGTGGTCCTTTGCCCCGACATCTTTAGGAACTTGGACCTGGACCCCTCCGATCACTCCCGCCACCAAGAGACCCTTTTTCCTAGCTTTCAGGGCTTCCAAGTGGCACTAGCATTGGTGATGAGCAACAAGCTCGCGGCAGCTCGCCAGGTTCCCCTTTTCTCCTGCTCCCCATGTTGTGCGAGAAGTGGAAACGAGGCTTTATGCGCTTGAACCACTTGTACCATCCAACAGCGGGCAACCTGACACGGATGACAGCCTTTTCCCTTTCGCAGACGCGGGATGCAGCCACGCAGGACAAGGCCACTTTCTTTTTCACCTTTGGGTCTCCAGTTTCTTCCACCCAGATCCGGCCGTTCAACGTCTTGAGTTCAGGGTTGTCTCGATCAATGATCGTCTCAACCTCGACGAGGCTGGGGATCAGTCACTACCATTTTATCCGTACGCTATGATTCCCATCTTTGCCGATGTGCCCGCATTGTTCCCCTCCTGGTGCCCTACGGCAGATTTCCAAGGTTTGCTCAATTCCCAGGGTCTCCCTCTCATACTCGTCATCCAAATGGACGACGAATACACTGGTATCGACCCGGACTCTCTACGTGTCGCGACGAGACGACACACACACGCTCTCACACACACATAAATGTACACAGGTACACAAATACCAATCGTTTCCTGGAGCACATCATTCACCAGACGACGAAGACCCCCGTCCCAGCCGGCCCCAGCCAGTGTCGTCGAATAAGGCTGCAGGATTCCCATCGCGGAGCTCCATTCTTGGACCTGGTTCCCCGTCTTGCCCTGCTGGGCGTGGCACGCTACATGCGCGTACCGTCAGGAACGTTACGGTGTACACTACTTTGGCCTGAGGTACTCGTCTCTGTCCACGGATAACGAACGTATGCGGTCGTGGACTCGCAGCAAGACACAAAACCCCAGGTACAAGATATACACCACTTTGGCCCAGTATTAGGCAAAAGCTGTTTGGTCCTGTGGTTGTTTTGCTGGCATATCAAAACACAACACATACACAACACGCACCTTGCATTACTGCGCAGCGCCGAGGTGCTCACCTCTTGTTCAAAGTTCCTCCTGCACGCGCCCCGCGCCACAGAAGTATTGCTCCAATCCAGAGTTTGTGTCTTGATCCGCTGTTGAGCCGGTTGAAGAGGAGTCAATTTCGTCTGGGGCATTATCCAACGGCGTGAACGGCTTGCTCCCCGTTTTCCTCCCCTGGTTGGCCGCACCGTGCTCCCTTCAACTGGCCGAGGTATTCTTTACGGATCATTCTGTCCGTATCGTTCCTTGGTGCCCTTCCGGGTACATTCCTGCTGGCGGGTGCGGCTGGGATTCTGGAGTTTGGTGCTGATGGTGATGGTGATGATGCTGACAGTATTGCTGCCGTGGGCTTGCATGTGCAGAGTTGCTTCGTGGGCACAGCCTGGTGTTATTTTCTGCTCTCCGTCTTTTCTCGCAGCGTTCGCAGCGTACGATACTACGGTGGTGGTCGTGGTACCTGGTGATGCCGCCACTCGCAGCAAGTCTGCAGCATATCCCATGTCTAGGGCTACCTGATGAACATGTATCCGTTGACAACTGCCTCGAAGCGGATACATACCAAGCTCTATTGGGCAATGACCTCTACGTTTCTGGGCCATCACTGCCGACCACCCCGGCCAGAGATACTCAGTCGGGGCTACGCAGTATGCCAGTTCATCAAGCATCGCCCGCTGCCCCATCAACTCACGTCCCATGAGTCTGTATTGGAGTGAAGATGGGTTGAAGGACTTGCGCGGTGTGCGATTGCGCATGCGCGGCGGCGTGACCCCCGTCGTCTTCCCGCGCGACGGTCTGTATGTCAAGTTGCATACCAAAACAAGAGACGGGTCGACTGGTGTGGGCACGATGGAAGAGGGGAAGAGAGGAACAGACATATTAGACAGGCCGTGAACCGTGACGGCGGGAGGCGAGACCAGCAGAAGTTTGATTTTCCAATAATTCAATTCCACCCCAGGGATCCAAGCACCAGGCGCAGACGAGACAACCGCCGGAGAGAAAGGAACGAGGAAGAAGAAAGTCTACACAGCGGCCACTCGCAAGTTGCAACCAAACGTCCGAACATAATCAAACCAAAAGTCGACCCTGCAGCCGACAGCATCATCCTCTTTTTTTTTTCTTGCTCTTCTCGATTCAGGTACGGATACCCGTCCGTCTCTGAGGTGGTTCTCGATCTCTGGACTCTGGCTGGTACAGTTTTGTCTCTCATCACCTTGTCTCTCCTGCCTGCTACCACTGGCACAGAGAGAGAGAGAGAGAGAGAAAAGATACCTGACACTTCGTACCTATCCCTACAGGTCAAGTCAGGTCAGGTCAGGCCAGTCAGGTACCTCTCCCGCGCGCGCACATACACACACCACTTTCTCCGTGGACACACACTCTCTCTCGCAGGGCAAGAAAAGAGAGACAGACACTGGCACAACTGGACACACACACACACGCGCGCACATTGGCACACAACTCGCACACAAACATTACAGCCTGACCCTGGTCGCTGGCCCCCCCCTACCTAGGCTTTTTTGGCCGCCCCGGGTCCCAGGAGACTCCCAGACCACCACCATCACACCCCCCCTTGCCTTTTGCCTTGTACACACCCTTCGAGCGCAAATTGGCCCGCCAGAGCCAAAGGGCAAAAGGGCAGAAGGACTGAGAGGGAAGGAAGAAAAAAAAGAGGCACGACTGCCCCCCCGAAAACCATTAGCGAAATTGGGCCCCTATCACCAGTACCCTCTCCTTCTACCTTTCACCCCCCCGGACTCATTCGTTCATGCTAAGAACGGGCCCCCGGCCATTTCTCGAGTCGACGGCATAGTGGCCGGCTCCTCGTTCCATTTTACCACTTACTCCCGGTCAGTTGAAATCAATTTCCCTTCCATCTGCACTGCATTTCGTACCGCACTTTGCACGCCTGGCCTGTGGACTAGGGGTACCTACCTATCTTATTACGGGAGTACCTCAGATCCCTACACAGAGCCACAGAGCCCAGAGGTTCCTTTCCTTTCCCAAGTTTCCCACCCCTCGTCCCCTCGCCCTCTCTCAAATCCTCGTCTTCGCCCATCCCGACGCGGGTCCACGGTGAATCACTCTGCTGGATCGTGTGTGGGTTTCTGCTCTCTCTCACGCCTCTCTCTCACACTCAGTCTCTACTAAGGTACCCGTACCGCGCAAGGTACCGTACCTTACTGGTGTCTGTCTACCTTACCTTACACGGTACCTTACCGTACCGAAAGGAGTACCTTTACACTCTCACTTTCTCTCACACACTCTCTTTCCTCCCCCGTCCCGTCCATCCACTCGACCCTCGTCACCCATTCATTCTTGCTCTCCCTTTCCACTTCCGCTCGGCTTCTTGCTCCCCTCCTCTCCCAAAGCTCCCTGACCCCTTCCTCTCTCATCTGTTTCTTCGTCCCTCTTTTTTTTAACAACCCATATGCGTCGCAGTTCTCGTCCAGCTTTTGCTATCCAACAGGCAGAGCATCCGTCAACTGCCGTCCGGTCCGCGAATGCTGCATTGCATTTACAAGCAACCTGCTATTACTTGAACTGCACCCAAGCACTCACACCACACGCATTGCGCAGACGGGACAGCAAAGACTAGGTCGACATCCAACAACACCACCACCACGGCCACCCAAACACCTCGTGCGTCGATGCTCATCTCTCCCCTCGTCACCAGCTTCACAATTCAACGCGGCTTCCAAAAGAGACCAAACCAACAAAACCTGGTCGCCCAACCCCCCTTCCACCTTCCAAGGGTCGCTTCCTCATCATCGCAATCTCGACCCACGCACCCGAGAACATCGTCTCCTCTGGATATCCACGTCTGAGGATCCATCCCCGATCGACTGGTTCTAGCTCCATTCCCACCCCCTGGACCCTTCCCTGGCCCTTTTAATAATATCGACCACCTCCTGGCTTCGACCGTCCCTCGCTGTCTCCTCTTCTTCATCTGGTTTCGCTCTCTTGGTCCATCCCAGCTCAGTCATTCTCGCTTTTTTTCTATTTCCAAAATCAACCTGTTCCCCGACCCATTACTCGCGACATCATCCGCACAAAGCATTTCCTTACTACAACTTTCAACACTTCTTCAACCAAACACACACTACCACTACCACCACCAACCTTGACCACTACCACCACCACCGCATCACCACCAACAAACACTACCATACTGGGAAGAGCTACCGGTCTGAATGCCACAGGTTTCGCAAGCGGCTCTTACACAGAGCTCCTCCTAGTTAGGCACAGCATTGGTACGGTCCAGGCTAATACGCCTGAGAAAGCGGCCTTGGCCAGCTGACCCGCCCCAGAAACACCGTCGTCACGAGGATCTTGACTGGAATCAACGATCACATCCACACAACAAAACTCACACAAAATGACGGTCGCACACGAACTGGCCCACAGAGGCTCATCATCGCACTCTGCCAACAACATGGCTCTCGAAGACCGATTCGAGGTCCTCAAGGAAATCGGTGACGGTAGCTTTGGCAGTGTCGTTCTCGCCCGGGTCCGTAGCGCAGGTGCTAGCGTGGCTCGTCGCGGTACGGTGGTAAGTTCCTGCATATCAATCCCGTTACACCACATCAAGTCACTAAAACATCGTTTAGGTTGCCATCAAGACCATGAAGAAGACTTTTGAGTCATTTACGCCATGCTTGGAGCTTCGTGAGGTCGTCTTCTTGAAGACGTTGCCCAACCATGCCCACCTCGTCCCCGCCCTGGACATCTTCCTCGACCCGTACACTAAGAAGCTGCACATCGCCATGGAGTACATGGAGGGTAACCTGTACCAATTGATGAAGGCTCGGGATCACAAATGCCTCGACAACGCCAGTGTCAAGAGCATCCTTTTCCAGATCATGCAGGGCCTCGAGCACATTCACGCACATCACTTTTTCCACCGCGACATCAAGCCCGAGAACATTCTTGTCTCCACCTCATCCCACCAAGACACCGTCACGTCTTTCCGCAGATATTCGGCTCTCGTCACTCCCCCGTCCACGCCTCCCAATTACACCGTCAAGATTGCCGACTTTGGACTTGCACGCGAAACCCACTCAAAGCTTCCCTACACGACCTACGTTTCAACGAGATGGTACCGAGCACCCGAAGTTCTCCTGCGTGCTGGCGAATACTCCGCTCCCGTCGATATCTGGGCTGTCGGCGCCATGGCAGTTGAAATTGCAACACTCAAGCCACTCTTCCCCGGTGGAAACGAGGTCGACCAAGTTTGGAGGGTATGTGAGATCATGGGAAGCCCCGGAAACTGGTACAACAAGTCTGGTGCCCGTGTCGGTGGCGGCGAATGGAAGGACGGTACCAGGTTAGCCGGCAAGCTGGGCTTCTCATTCCCCAAGATGGCTCCTCATGCCATGGATACGATTTTGCAGCAACCTCAGTGGCCCGCTTCGCTGAGCCACTTCGTTACGTGGTGCCTGATGTGGGACCCCAAGACCCGCCCGACCTCAACACAGGCAATTGCTCACGAGTACTTTGTCGATGCCGTTGATCCCCTGAGGCCGAAGTCCTCTGCATCGAGAATCTTGGGCCGCAAGCAGTCCGATCTTGGCCGCGGCAACAATTCTAACTCCTCTACCCCTACCTCCACCAAGCCGTCCTGGTTCAGGAAGTCCCTTATTGGCCGCTCCGAAAGCGCCGAAGTTGCCGTTCCTCAATCAATTTCCAAGGAATCAACCCCGAGACCGTCCCCCGTCCCCTCGCAGACGACGAACGAAGTCCCCGTCGCGAAGACGCGCCCTGCTCAGTCAAAGCGCACGACATGGACGAATGGCCCATCCAACGTCGCACC